GGGAGAGAGGCCGAAAGCTCGCAAAGGTGACTGCTGCTAGAAAGGACGGGATGGCATGACAGAGGGCTTACGGCTTTGCCCGCTGCATTGGCGCACCGCCGTGCCGCCCAAACCCAAACGCCTCCAATCCCACCCTAATTATCAACAAGATCGCAAGTCCATTCATCTTGCAACGTTGACACACTCCCACACCCAAACCCGATTCGAACAACTCTGCAAGCCTACTACATTCTGTTCACATTGCATTCGCAGGGCCGGCGTCGTCTGTGCAAAGTCACGCGCGTTTCGAGCCAGCAGTCTTGGCAGGAGCCCTAAAGCCGCAGCGCCGAAAGCTCTGAGAAATTCTGAGAACCTTATGGTATCGGGCATTTTGGGTCGGGGATCGGGCTACTTCAAGCTGCGGGATCCCAGGGCTGGACGTGTCCCGGCTTGAGGCAACTCTCGGCTGGTTGTCACTGGAAGGTCAGGGTGCTCTATTTGTGGACGATGTTTGTAGCTGGAAAGGTGTAGTTAGATTATTTAGATTCCAAGAGCGGAGCTGAGTTGCATGTGGGGGATACTGGGATCTGCGACACTATCCATTCACTGACACGTCGCATTGTCGCTTGGGAATGTAGCAGAACATCAGCCCGTGTGGTGACCATGCGAGCCCTGTAGGAGCACTGCCCATGCTGCCAAGGCCGTGGATTCCGTTCACCTCGACTTGCTGCTGCCCCTCCATTCCCTCGCTCATCCAGGAGACGCCGAATCTCTACCAGAGCAGTGGAGAAGGGGGCGCCTGTGATCTGAGGGTGGGGTCGAATGTGCAGAGGGCCTAAGAGTTCGAAGTAGGAAGTAGGCAGAAAGTAGACAATAGGGGGGGGGGGGGGGGCAGGTTCAAGGAGGACACTCTATCCAGGCACCAAAACAAACAAAGTACACTCTCTCAAGGCTCTAAAGACATATAAACATCCTCTTGGTACAGACATTCGGTGAGTTGCTTCCGCAGTGTTGGTGACAAGGATATTGTGAGGCCTTGGCATCCATGTGAGGGATATCCCAAGTGAGCCTCAGCACTTGGCAGGACCAGCGCTGTCCGTCTCAGACCTCACAGGCCGAGTCCGGACACATTGAAGGAATATGTCGAGTCTGGTAAAGTTTAGGTAAAGAGGCTTTCAAACCACGGAGCTGCCCGAACGGTGGGCTAGGAAGAGCTGCCTCAGACATCTCAGACGTAGCGCAGAAGATCTGCGATGGTACTCTTTGGTAGAGGTTTGCGCAGGGAGTAAAGATGCCTTGCCGTCACCATCATCACACTGACCTCTTTCGTGGTGCCTGCTGGTCCTTTGTTTAAGCCCGCACGCGATGCCAACGCCTGAAAGGCCGACGAAGGCCATGCCTCTACCACGTACCATATCTAGCAGACTGCGCCCATGTTGCGTTCCAGATCCCGGCAGCGCCTTATTGACGAGATCTTCCGCCTGAGCGGGTGCGTTGGTCGGCAGTTGGTGCTCTGTGTTAGGACTGAGCTTTGCAGTTCGTTCCATGCTTGAGAGTGAAGATCCTTGTGTGAGTGTGTGCTGTTGTTGCTAGAGAATGACACTGGCGATCGGTAGGAAGTCCGACGTTCAGTCGTTTACAATGAGTCTTAAAGCAACTCGGCGAACCTGGGCTGAGGCAGCGCTCTCCTGGTCCTGGACCTTGTGGATCTTGGCTCCTCACCATCAACTCAGAGTCTTGCATGTGCGGGTTTCGCTCCCTTGGCGGTAGATTTCATCCACCTGGGACTCCCGTCTTCACTTCGATCATACGGGCAGCTTGGACTTGTGCTGCTTGTCTTAGAATTCCTTCAATCCGGATCTGCAATGCCAGTCCGAAGCTTCGCATGCCTTGGCCCGGCCACCTCCGTTCTGTCATTCACGCATTCAGGCCCACTTCCGTCAGTCCACAGCTTCGCGAGCTTTGATCTCCTGATATTCCCTCAAAACTCCGGCAGGCTTGGACTGTTGTTGTTTGCATGCGGAGTTACGCGCCCGGGACTTCTTTTGCCCGTGCCTGACGGCATCCTTCCAGACCCGCCACTTCTGCTGCACGGCCTGGCATGCATCGGTCCTGGACTGTTCGTTCTGGATCTCGTCCACACCGGGTCCTTGCCTCCTTCACGAGGTCTCAGTCGAACGGGGGTGAGTCTATTGGCATTAGACGCAGTTCACATGGGCCTGCTGCCGCCGATGCGGAGCATGGCACACATTGGGTCAAGCCTGCCAGTTCTTGACTTTGTGCACCCAGGCAGTTTGCCATCCTCGCAAGGAGTCTCCAGGTCAGGATTACCACCTTTTGTGTCAGATGCAGCTCACTTCGGACTGCTCCTGCTTCTTCATGGCCTTTCAAAAGCCGATCCAGCGCTGCCCGTCCTGGACCTCGTGCACCTGGACTTGCTTCCGCCTCTTCAGAGTCACGTTTGCACAGGCAGCCTGTTGTCGGTGCTGGACTTTGTGCACGTTGGCCTGTTGCTGCCGTCGAGAAGCACTTGTCACCCTGCCTCATTGCCGCCGGTTCTGGGCGTGGGCTGTTTTGAGCTGTCTGCGCTCGTACTCGATTCCGTTCATTTTGGATCTTTGCTGTTCTTGCGTGCCTTTGGCTGTTTGGACACGTCGGCTTTCGCGTTGGACTTTGTTCACATAGGGCCTGTGCTGCTTCCAAGGAGTTTCGGGCAGCCAGGCCCGTTCTTGTTGGTGCCTGACAGTATCCATCTGGGCCTCCCATCGCCTCTGAGAGGGTTCGCATAGGTCGATCTGGCTTCGTTCGCAGTGGATTTTGCAAACACGGGATCGTTGCCATTGCCTCGTAGCTTGTCTCAGCCTGGGCCTTTTCCACTGGCTTTGGATCTTACAGATTCTGGATCTTCGCCGCTGCCACGAAATTCTGGCAGGCTTGGACTGTTGTTGTTTGCATGCGGAGTTACGCGGCCGGGACTTCTTCTGCCCGTGCCTGACGGCATCCTTCCAGACCCGCCACTTCTGCTGCACGGCCTGGCATGCATCGGTCCTGGACTGTTCGTTCTGGATCTCGTCCACACCGGGTCCTTGCCTCCTTCACGAGGTCTCAGTCGAACGGGGGTGAGTCTATTGGCATTAGACGCAGTTCACATGGGCCTGCTGCCGCCGATGCGGAGCATGGCACACATTGGGTCAAGCCTGCCAGTTCTTGACTTTGTGCACCCAGGCAGTTTGCCATCCTCGCAAGGAGTCTCCAGGTCAGGATTACCCCCTTTTGTGTCAGATGCGGCTCACTTCGGACTGCTCCTGCTTCTTCATGGCCTTTCAAAAGCCGATCCAGCGCTGCCCGTCCTGGACCTCGTGCACCTGGACTTGCTTCCGCCTCTTCAGAGTCACGTTTGCACAGGCAGCCTGTTGTCGGTGCTGGACTCTGTGCACGTTGGCCTGTTGCTGCCGTCGAGAAGCACTTGTCACCCTGCCTCATTGCCGCCGGTTCTGGGCGTGGGCTGTTTTGAGCTGTCTGCACTCGTACTCGATTCCGTTCATTTTGGATCTCTGCTGTTCTTGCGTGCCTTTGGCTGTTTGGACACTTCAGCTTTCGCGTTGGACTTTGTTCACACAGGGCCTGTGCTGCTTCCAAGGAGTTTCGGGCAGCCAGGCCTGTTCTTGTTGGTGCCTGACAGTATCCATCTGGGGCTCCCATCGCCTCTGAAAGGGTTCGCAAAGGTCGATTTGGCTTCGTTCACAGTGGATTTTGCAAACTCGGGATCGTTGCCATTGCCTCGTAGCTTGTCTCAGCCTGGGCCTTTTCCATTGGCTTCGGATCTTACAGATTCTGGATCTTCGCCGCTGCCACGAAATTCTGGCAGGCTTGGACTGTTGTTGTTTGCATGCGGAGTTACGCGGCCGGGACTTCTTCTGCCCGTGCCTGACGGCATCCTTCCAGACCCGCCACTTCTGCTGCACGGCCTGGCATGCATCGGTCCTGGACTGTTCGTTCTGGATCTCGTCCACACCGGGTCCTTGCCTCCTTCACGAGGTCTCAGTCGAACGGGGGTGAGTCTATTGGCATTAGACGCAGTTCACATGGGCCTGCTGCCGCCGATGCGGAGCATGGCACACATTGGGTCAAGCCTGCCAGTTCTTGACTTTGTGCACCCAGGCAGTTTGCCATCCTCGCAAGGAGTCTCCAGGTCAGGATTACCCCCTTTTGTGTCAGATGCGGCTCACTTCGGACTGCTCCTGCTTCTTCATGGCCTTTCAAAAGCCGATCCAGCGCTGCCCGTCCTGGACCTCGTGCACCTGGACTTGCTTCCGCCTCTTCAGAGTCACGTTTGCACAGGCAGCCTGTTGTCGGTGCTGGACTTTGTGAACGTTGGCCTGTTGCTGCCGTCGCGAAGCACTTGTCACCCTGCCTCATTGCCGCCGGTTCTGGGCGTGGGCTGCTTTGAGCTGTCTGCACTCGTACTCGATTCCGTTCATTTTGGATCTCTGCTGTTCTTGCGTGCCTTTGGCTGTTTGGACACCTTGGCTTTCGCGTTGGACTTTGTTCACACAGGGCCTGTGCTGCTTCCAAGGAGTTTCGGGCAGCCAGGCCCGTTCTTGTTGGTGCCTGACAGTATCCATCTGGGCCTCCCATCGCCTCTGAAAGGGTTCGCATAGGTCGATCTGGCTTCGTTCGCAGTGGATTTTGCAAACTCGGGATCGTTGCCATTGCCTCGTAGCTTGTCTCAGCCTGGGCCTTTTCCATTGGCTTCGGATCTTACAGATTCTGGATCTTCGCCGCTGCCACGAAATTCTGGCAGGCTTGGACTGTTGTTGTTTGCATGCGGAGTTACGCGGCCGGGACTTCTTCTGCCCGTGCCTGACGGCATCCTTCCAGACCCGCCACTTCTGCTGCACGGCCTGGCATGCATCGGTCCTGGACTGTTCGTTCTGGATCTCGTCCACACCGGGTCCTTGCCTCCTTCACGAGGTCTCAGTCGAACGGGGGTGAGTCTATTGGCATTAGACGCAGTTCACATGGGCCTGCTGCCGCCGATGCGGAGCATGGCACACATTGGGTCAAGCCTGCCAGTTCTTGACTTTGTGCACCCAGGCAGTTTGCCATCCTCGCAAGGAGTCTCCAGGTCAGGATTACCCCCTTTTGTGTCAGATGCAGCTCACTTCGGACTGCTCCTGCTTCTTCATGGCCTTTCAAAAGCCGATCCAGCGCTGCCCGTCCTGGACCTCGTGCACCTGGACTTGCTTCCGCCTCTTCAGAGTCACGTTTGCACAGGCAGCCTGTTGTCGGTGCTGGACTTTGTGAACGTTGGCCTGTTGCTGCCGTCGAGAAGCACTTGTCACCCTGCCTCATTGCCGCCGGTTCTGGGCGTGGGCTGTTTTGAGCTGTCTGCACTCGTACTCGATTCCGTTCATTTTGGATCTCTGCTGTTCTTGCGTGCCTTTGGCTGTTTGGACACCTCGGCTTTCGCGTTGGACTTTGTTCACACAGGGCCTGTGCTGCTTCCAAGGAGTTTCGGGCAGCCAGGCCTGTTCTTGTTGGTGCCTGACAGTATCCATCTGGGGCTCCCATCGCCTCTGAAAGGGTTCGCAAAGGTCGATTTGGCTTCGTTCACAGTGGATTTTGCAAACTCGGGATCGTTGCCATTGCCTCGTAGCTTGTCTCAGCCTGGGCCTTTTCCATTGGCTTCGGATCTTACAGATTCTGGATCTTCGCCGCTGCCACGAAATTCTGGCAGGCTTGGACTGTTGTTGTTTGCATGCGGAGTTACGCGGCCGGGACTTCTTCTGCCCGTGCCTGACGGCATCCTTCCAGACCCGCCACTTCTGCTGCACGGCCTGGCATGCATCGGTCCTGGACTGTTCGTTCTGGATCTCGTCCACACCGGGTCCTTGCCTCCTTCACGAGGTCTCAGTCGAACGGGGGTGGGTCTATTGGCATTAGACGCAGTTCACATGGGCCTGCTGCCGCCGATGCGGAGCATGGCACACATTGGGTCAAGCCTGCCAGTTCTTGACTTTGTGCACCCAGGCAGTTTGCCATCCTCGCAAGGAGTCTCCAGGTCAGGATTACCCCCTTTTGTGTCAGATGCGGCTCACTTCGGACTGCTCCTGCTTCTTCATGGCCTTTCAAAAGCCGATCCAGCGCTGCCCGTCCTGGACCTCGTGCAGCTGGACTTGCTTCCGCTTGCTCAGAGCTGCGTCCATTTGGGTTCGTCACTGCCCGTTCTTGACCTTGGCCACGCAGGTCTCTCACTGTTGACGCAAAGCCACAGCTGCTTGGAGCTACTCTTGTTTGCCTTAGGGCTGACTCGATTAGGCCCTTGCTTCTTGCTGCTTGTGACAGAACCCACGCACTCAGGACTCTTGCCTTCACTGAGAGGGCTTGCACATTCGGGATCTCTTCTGCCTGCTCTTGACTTTTCACACCTGGGCCTGCTGTCATTGCTGCACGGCCGTGCCTGGCCAGGTGTTTCGGTTCTTGTCTTGGACTTTTCGCACTTGGGATTGCCTTTCTTCTTGCAGTCATTCGCGCACCTTGGCCTGGCAGTGCTTGCCACGGATCTCTTGCAGGCAGGGCCCGGACCGCTTCTTCGAGGTCGTGCTTGTTCAGAATCCGCGCTGTTTGTGTGGGATCCTGTACGCCTCGGCTCCTTCGTATCCACACGCAGCCATTGCTGGACCGAATCTGTGCTGCTGGTGCTGGATCGCGCAAGCATGGGCTTTCCGGTCAGTATTCGCAGCCTTGCACGCTCGGGTTTTTTGGTTTTAGCTCCGGATGTGGCTACAGCAGAGCCATTCTCGTCACTACATTGCCACTGCTACTCCGGATTTCTGACTTCTGTGCTGGGAGTCACATGGCTGAATGCGTCGTCATTAGCACTGGACTTCGTGAATCCCGGATCTCTGCCGCTGCTCCGCGGAGTTGCCAGGCTAGATCTCCTGTCGTCTGTGGTAGACCTTGTGCACTTCGACCTGCTCCCTCCCTCGAAGGGTCTTGCGTGGCCCGGCCCAGTGGCTTTTGCTCCTGATCCTGCGCACCCAGACTTGCCATCTCCGTCACAGGGAGTCTCGCGGGCAGGAAGTGTGCTGCCTGCGCCCGACTCCGTGCATCCTGGTTCCTCATCGTTCTCGCAAGGCCTTACATGACTTGGTCTTTCTTTGTTTCTGCTAGGAGGGGCAAGGACGGATCCTTCTTTGTTGGCCTTGGGATACGCACATTCCGGATCAACACTTCTTCTGCGAGGGTTTTCAAAAGCCGGTGCAGCACTGAGCGTGTTGGATATGACTCAGTTAGGCTCTCCACTGCTGCCAAGAAGTCCAGCTTGGCTAGAATTTCTGCCGTTGGCACTCGATCCTGTCAATGCGGAGCCGTTGTTGCCGCCGCATGGATGCTCTCAAGCTGGTAGCATCTCGTCTGTGCCTGATTCTGTGCATTCCGGACCGCCCTTGTCTCTCAGGGGCGTATCTCGATTAGAAGTGGCCTTATTTGTTCTGGATCTTGTGCACACTGGCCCGTCCTCGTTCTCACGCCACCCTGCTCGAAGCGGATCGTCGCTGCTGGTGCCAGGTGCCAGCTGCTTGGATTCCTCGCCTTCTGTTCCAGCCGTCTGTGAGTTTGGACTGTCGTCGCCTGTACATGGACTTGCCAGGCTGGACAGTGCAGCTTTAGCGCCCGATTTCTCATCGCCGGGCTTACCCTCACTGTTGAGAGGAATGGCGTGCGTCGGATTCCTGACGCTGGCTTTGGATTCCGTTGGCTTGGGCTCCCCATCACCTTCACGAGGTGGCTCACGGTGTGACTCCTTGATGCTGGCACCGAGCTTTGTGCAGTTCGGCTTGCTTGTGCTACTTCACAGCATGTCTTGACTAGAGCCCGCGCTTCTAGTTTCGGACTTTGCCAGTCTTGGTTCCTCCTCTTCGTCGAGGGGTGCAGCTCAGCCAGATGTGGCTTCATCGGTTCTAGATTTGGTGCACTTCGGTCCACCTCCATCCTTACAGTCAGCTGCTTGAATGGAGCTACCACTTTCAATTTCAGACCTTTCGATTCCCGGCTCTCTGCCGCTGCTCCGCGGAGTTGCCAGGCTAGATCTCCTGTCGTCTGTGGTAGACCTTGTGCACTTCGACCTGCTCCCTCCCTCGAAGGGTCTTGCGTGGCCCGGCCCAGTGGCTTTTGCTCCTGATCCTGTGCACCCAGACTTGCCATCTCCGTCACAGGGAGTCTCGCGGGCAGGAAGTGTGCTGCCTGCGCCCGACTCCGTGCATCCTGGTTCCTCATCGTTCTCGCAAGGCCTTACATGACTTGATCTTTCTTTGTTTCTGCTAGGAGGGGCAAGGACGGATCCTTCTTTGTTGGCCTTGGGATACGCACATCCCGGATCAACACTTCTTCTGAGAGGGTTTTCAAAAGCCGGTGCAGCACTGAGCGTATTGGCTATGACTCAGTTAGGCTCTCCATTGCTGCCAAGAAGTCCAGCTTGGCTAGAATTTCTGCCGTTGGCACTCGATCCTGTCAATGCGGAGCCGTTGTTGCCGCCGCATGGATGCTCTCAAGCTGGTAGCATCTCGTCTGTGCCTGATTCTGTGCATTCCGGACCGCCTTTGTCTCTCAGGGGCGTATCTCGATTAGAAGTGGTCTTGTTTGTTCTGGATCTTGTGCACACTGGCCCGTCCTCGTTCTCACGCCACCCTGCTCGAAGCGGATCGTCGCTGCTGGTGCCAGGTGCCAGCTGCTCGGATTCCTCGCCTTCTGTTCCAGGCGTCTGTGAGTTTGGACTGTCGTCGCCTGTACATGGACTTGCCAGGCTGGACAGTGCAGCTTTAGCGCCCGATTTCTCATCGCCGGGCTTACCCTCACTGTTGAGAGGAATGGCGTGCGTCGGATTCCTGACGCTGGCTTTGGATTCCGTTGGCTTGGGCTCCCCATCACCTTCACGAGGTGGCTCACGGTGTGACTCCTTGATGCTGGCACCGAGCTTTGTGCAGTTCGGCTTGCTTGTGCTACTTCACAGCATGTCTTGACTAGAGCCCGCGCTTCTAGTTTCGGACTTTGCCAGTATTGGTTCCTCCTCTTCGTCGAGGGGTGCAGCTCAGCCAGATGTGGCTTCATCGGTTCTAGATTTGGTGCACTTCGGTCCACCTCCATCCTTACAGTCAGCTGCTTGAATGGAGCTACCACTTTCAATTTCAGACCTTTCGATTCCCGGCTCTCTGCCGCTGCTCCGCGGAGTTGCCAGGCTAGATCTCCTGTCGTCTGTGGTAGACCTTGTGCACTTCGACCTGCTCCCTCCCTCGAAGGGTCTTGCGTGGCCCGGCCCAGTGGCTTTTGCTCCTGATCCTGTGCACCCAGACTTGCCATCTCCGTCACAGGGAGTCTCGCGGGCAGGAAGTGTGCTGCCTGCGCCCGACTCCGTGCATCCTGGTTCCTCATCGTTCTCGCAAGGCCTTACATGACTTGGTCTTTCTTTGTTTCTGCTAGGAGGGGCAAGGACGGATCCTTCTTTGTTGGCCTTGGGATACACGCATCCCGGATCAACACTTCTTCTGAGAGGGTTTTCAAAAGCCGGTGCAGCACTGAGCGTGTTGGCTATGACTCAGTTAGGCTCTCCACTGCTGCCAAGAAGTCCAGCTTGGCTAGAATTTCTGCCGTTGGCACTCGATCCTGTCAATGCGGAGCCGTTGTTGCCGCCGCATGGATGCTCTCAAGCTGGTAGCATCTCGTCTGTGCCAGATTCTGTGCATTCCGGACCGCCCTTGTCTCTCAGGGGCGTATCTCGATTAGAAGTGGTCTTGTTTGTTCTGGATCTTGTGCACACTGGCCCGTCCTCGTTCTCGCGCCACCCTGCTCGAAGCGGATCGTCGCTGCTGGTGCCAGGTGCCAGCTGCTTGGATTCCTCGCCTTCTGTTCCAGGCGTCTGTGAGTTTGGACTGTCGTCGCCTGTACATGGACTTGCCAGGCTGGACAGTGCAGCTTTAGCGCCCGATTTCTCATCGCCGGGCTTACCCTCACTGTTGAGAGGAATGGCGTGCGTCGGATTCCTGACGCTGGCTTTGGATTCCGTTGGCTTGGGCTCCCCATCACCTTCACGAGGTGGCTCACGGTGTGACTCCTTGATGCTGGCACCGAGCTTTGTGCAGTTCGGCTTGCTTGTGCTACTTCACAGCATGTCTTGACTAGAGCCCGCGCTTCTAGTTTCGGACTTTGCCAGTATTGGTTCCTCCTCTTCGTCGAGGGGTGCAGCTCAGCCAGATGTGGCTTCATCGGTTCTAGATTTGGTGCACTTCGGTCCACCTCCATCCTTACAGTCAGCTGCTTGAATGGAGCTACCACTTTCAATTTCAGACCTTTCGATTCCCGGCTCTCTGCCGCTGCTCCGCGGAGTTGCCAGGCTAGATCTCCTGTCGTCTGTGGTAGACCTTGTGCACTTCGACCTGCTCCCTCCCTCGAAGGGTCTTGCGTGGCCCGGCCCAGTGGCTTTTGCTCCTGATCCTGTGCACCCAGACTTGCCATCTCCGTCACAGGGAGTCTCGCGGGCAGGAAGTGTGCTGCCTGCGCCCGACTCCGTGCATCCTGGTTCCTCATCGTTCTCGCAAGGCCTTACATGACTTGGTCTTTCTTTGTTTCTGCTAGGAGGGGCAAGGACGGATCCTTCTTTGTTGGCCTTGGGATACACGCATCCCGGATCAACACTTCTTCTGAGAGGGTTTTCAAAAGCCGGTGCAGCACTGAGCGTGTTGGCTATGACTCAGTTAGGCTCTCCACTGCTGCCAAGAAGTCCAGCTTGGCTAGAATTTCTGCCGTTGGCACTCGATCCTGTCAATGCGGAGCCGTTGTTGCCGCCGCATGGATGCTCTCAAGCTGGTAGCATCTCGTCTGTGCCTGATTCTGTGCATTCCGGACCGCCTTTGTCTCTCAGGGGCGTATCTCGATTAGAAGTGGTCTTGTTTGTTCTGGATCTTGTGCACACTGGCCCGTCCTCGTTCTCACGCCACCCTGCTCGAAGCGGATCGTCGCTGCTGGTGCCAGGTGCCAGCTGCTCGGATTCCTCGCCTTCTGTTCCAGGCGTCTGTGAGTTTGGACTGTCGTCGCCTGTACATGGACTTGCCAGGCTGGACAGTGCAGCTTTAGCGCCCGATTTCTCATCGCCGGGCTTACCCTCACTGTTGAGAGGAATGGCGTGCGTCGGATTCCTGACGCTGGCTTTGGATTCCGTTGGCTTGGGCTCCCCATCACCTTCACGAGGTGGCTCACGGTGTGACTCCTTGATGCTGGCACCGAGCTTTGTGCAGTTCGGCTTGCTTGTGCTACTTCACAGCATGTCTTGACTAGAGCCCGCGCTTCTAGTTTCGGACTTCGCCAGTATTAGTTCCTCCTCTTCGTCGAGGGGTGCAGCTCAGCCAGATGTGGCTTCATCGGTTCTAGATTTGGTGCACTTCGGTCCACCTCCATCCTTACAGTCAGCTGCTTGAATGGAGCTACCACTTTCAATTTCAGACCTTTCGATTCCCGGCTCTCTGCCGCTGCTCCGCGGAGTTGCCAGGCTAGATCTCCTGTCGTCTGTGGTAGACCTTGTGCATTTCGACCTGCTCCCTCCCTCGAAGGGTCTTGCGTGGCCCGGCCCAGTGGCTTTTGCTCCTGATCCTGTGCACCCAGACTTGCCATCTCCGTCACAGGGAGTCTCGCGGGCAGGAAGTGTGCTGCCTGCGCCCGACTCCGTGCATCCTGGTTCCTCATCGTTCTCGCAAGGCCTTACATGACTTGGTCTTTCTTTGTTTCTGCTAGGAGGGGCAAGGACGGATCCTTCTTTGTTGGCCTTGGGATACACGCATCCCGGATCAACACTTCTTCTGAGAGGGTTTTCAAAAGCCGGTGCAGCACTGAGCGTGTTGGCTATGACTCAGTTAGGCTCTCCACTGCTGCCAAGAAGTCCAGCTTGGCTAGAATTTCTGCCGTTGGCAGTCGATCCTGTCAATGCGGAGCCGTTGTTGCCGCTGCATGGATGCTCTCAAGCTGGTAGCATCTCGTCTGTGCCAGATTCTGTGCATTCCGGACCGCCCTTGTCTCTCAGGGGCGTATCTCGATTAGAAGTGGCCTTATTTGTTCTGGATCTTGTGCACACTGGCCTGTCCTCGTTCTCACGCAACCCTGCTCGAAGCGGATCGTCGCCTCTGGTGCCAGGTTTCTGTGATTTTGAACTGTCGTCGCCTGTACATGGACTTGCCAGGCTGGACAGTGCAGCTTTAGCGCCCGATTTCTCATCGCCGGGCTTACCCTCACTGTTGAGAGGAATGGCGTGCGTCGGATTCCTGACGCTGGCTTTGGATTCCGTTGGCTTGGGCTCCCCATCACCTTCACGAGGTGGCTCACGGTGTGACTCCTTGATGCTGGCACCGAGCTTTGCGCAGTTCGGCTTGCTTTTGCCACTTCACAGCATGTCTTGACCAGAGCCCGCGCTTCTAGTTGTAGACCTTGCCAGTCCGGACTCGTTCTCGTTCCTAAGAGGCGCGTCCCAGCCTGATCTTGTCCTGTTGGTTCTGGATGCCTCGCACCTGGGTTCCGTGCTGTTCCCTCGCAGCTTTGCGCACCCGGGTTCGCCACTTCTTGCGCCCGACGTGGTGCATGCAGACCCGTCTCTGCTGCTGCAGTGTCACGGCTGAGCAGATGCCCCTCCGCCCGTTCCCGGCATCTCGCGAGCGGGTCCTTCCGCACTGGCACCTGACTTTACACAGTCGGAGTCACCGTCGTCCCTGCACGGCTGGGCGCACCTCGGCCCCTCTCCTTCCGTGCTGGGCCTTGCTCATCCGGGATTTCCTACACCGCTGCACGGACTTTCTTGGGTCGGAAGTGTTTCGCTGGTGCTGGATCTCGTTCACCTGGACCTCTTCTTGCTTTCGAGAGGTGCTGCCTGGACCGAGCCTGTTTTGTTTGTGCTGCAGGGTGCATCTTTGGATTCATTGCCGTTTCTACGAAGTGCAGCATGCCTGGACACAGCTTTGCTTGCACTTGATTGTGCTCAGCTAGGGTCCCCTCTGCTGTTGCGGGGGCCATCGCACATGGAGCCTTCCTTGCCAGCATCAGATCTTGCAGTCTGCAGCTCATCTTTACCTCTGCATTGTTCTGCTCACACTGACTTGGTGTTGTCTGCAACGGGCGTGAGCTGGATGGATTCGTCACCTCCAGCGCTGGCTGCCTGTGAGCTCGGACCACCATTGCCTCTGCGCGGGCGTGCAAAGCTTGGCATCTCAGCACTGGCATCAGACTGCTCGGCACCGGGCCTATCTCTGCTGTTACGAGGGGCAGCGCAGATGGGTTTCCCGCTACTTGTGTCGGACTTTGTTGGCTTGGGCTCCCCATCACCTTTGCGCAGTGGTTCGCAATGTGACTCCTCCCTGCTGGCATCGAGCCATGTGCAGTCTGGCTTGCCTCTGTCTCTTCACAGTGTGTCCCGGACGGAGTTTGCACTTCTTGTGTCGGAAGCTGCCAGTCCAGACTTGTTGTTATTGTTGCGAGGTGGGTCCCAGCCTGATCTTGCCTTGTTGGTTCTGGATGCCTCGCACCTGGGTTCCGTGCTGTTCCCTCGCAGCTTTGCGCACCCGGGTTCGCCACTTCTTGCGCCCGACGTGGTGCATGCAGACCTGTCTCTGCTGCTGCAGTGTCACGGCTGAGCAGATGCCCCTCCTCCTGTTCCCGGCATCTCGCGCGCGGGTTCTTCCGCACTGGCACCTGACTTTACACAGTCGGAGTCACCGTCGTCCCTGCACGGCTGGGCGCACCTCGGCCCCTCTCCTCCAGTGCTGGGCTTTGCTCATCTGGGATTTCCTACACCGCTGCACGGACTTTCTTGGATCGGAAGTGTTCCGCTGGTGCTGGATCTCGTTCACCTGGACCTCTTCTTGCTTTCGAGAGGTGCTGCCTGGACCGAGCCTGTTTTGTTGGTGCTGCAGGGCGCATCATTGGATTCATTGCCGTTTCTACGAAGTGCAGCATGCATGGACACAGCTTTGCTTGCACTTGATTGTGCTCAGCTAGGGTCCCCTCTGCTGTTGCGGGGGCCATCGCACATGGAGCCTTCCTTGCCAGCATCAGATCTTGCAGTCTGCAGCTCATCTTTACCTCTGCATTGTTCTGCTCACACTGACTTGGTGTTGTCTGCAACGGGCGTGAGCTGGATGGATTCGTCACCTCCAGCGCTGGCTGCCTGTGAGCTCGGACCACCATTGCCTCTGCGCGGGCGTGCAAAGCTTGGCATCTCAGCACTGGCATCAGACTGCTCGGCACCGGGCCTATCTCTGCTGTTACGAGGGGCAGCGCAGATGGGTTTCCCACTACTTGTGTCGGACTTTGTTGGCTTGGGCTCCCCATCACCTTTGCGCAGTGGTTCGCAATGTGACTCCTCGCTGCTGGCATCGAGCCATGTGCAGTCTGGCTTGCCTCTGTCTCTTCACAGTGTGTCCCGGACGGAGTTTGCACTTCTTGTGTCGGAAGCTGCCAGTCCAGACTTGTTGTTATTGTTGCGAGGTGGGTCCCAGCCTGATCTTGCCTTGTTGGTTCTGGATGCCTCGCACCTGGGTTCCGTGATGTTGCCTCGCAGCTTTGCGCACCCGGGTTTGCCACTTCTTGCGCCCGACGTGGTGCATGCAGACCCGTCTTTGCTGCTGCAGTGTCACGGCTGAGCAGATGCCCCTCCTCCTGTTCCCGGCATCTCGCGCGCGGGTTCTTCCGCACTGGCACCTGACTTTACACAGTCGGAGTCACCGTCGTCCCTGCACGGCTGGGCGCACCTCGGCCCCTCTCCTTCAGTGCTGGGCTTTGCTCATCTGGGATTTCCTACACCGCTGCACGGACTTTCTTGGGTCGGAAGTGTTCCGCTGGTGCTGGATCTCGTTCACCTGGACTTCTTCTTGCTTTCGAGAGGTGCTGCCTGGACCGAGCCTGCTTTGTTTGTGCTGCAGGGTGCATCTTTAGATTCATTGCCGTTTCTACGAAGTGCAGCATGCCTGGACACAGCTTTGCTTGCACTTGATTGTGCTCAGCTCGGGTCCCCTCTGCTGTTGCGGGGGTCATCGCACATGGAGCCTTCCTTGCCAGCATCAGATCTCGCAGTCTGCAGCTCATCTTTACCTCTGCATTGTTCTGCTCACACTGACTTGGTGTTGTCTGCAACGGGCGTGAGCTGGATGGATTCGTTACCTCCAGTACTGGCTGTCTGTGAGCTCGGACCACCGTTGCCTCCTCGCGGGCGTGCAAAGCTTGGCATCTCAGCACTGGCGTCAGACTGCTCGGCACCGGGCCTATCTCTGCTGTTACGAGGGGCAGCGCAGATGGGTTTCCCGCTACTTGTGTCGGACTTTGTTGGCTTGGGCTCCCCATCACCTTTGCGCAGTGGTTCGCAATGTGACTCCTCGCTGCTGGCATCGAGCCATGTGCAGTCTGGCTTGCCTCCGTCTCTTCACAGTGTGTCCCGGACGGACTTTGCACTTCTTGTGTCGGAAGCTGCCAGTCCAGACTTGTTGTTATTGTTGCGAGGTGGGTCCCAGCCTGATCTTGCCTTGCTGGTTCTGGATGCCTCGCACCTGGGTTCCGTGCTGTTCCCTCGCAGCTTTGCGCACCCGGGTTCGCCACTTCTTGCGCCCGACGTGGTGCATGCAGACCTGTCTCTGCTGCTGCAGTGTCACGGCTGAGCAGATGCCCCTCCTCCTGTTCCCGGCATCTCGCGCGCGGGTTCTTCCGCACTGGCACCTGACTTTACACAGTCGGAGTCACCGTCGTCCCTGCATGGCTGGGCGCACCTCGGCCCCTCTCCTTCAGTGCTGGGCTTTGCTCATCTGGGATTTCCTACACCGCTGCACGGACTTTCTTGGGTCGGAAGTGTTCCGCTGGTGATGGATCTCGTTCACCTGGACTTCTTCTTGCTTTCGAGAGGTGCTGCCTGGACCGAGCCTGTTTTGTTGGTGCTGCAGGGTGCATCTTTGGATTTATTGCCGTTTCTACGAAGTGCAGCATGCATGGACACAGCTTTGCTTGCACTTGATTGTGCTCAGCTAGGGTCCCCTCTGCTGTTGCGGGGGCCATCGCACATGGAGCCTTCCTCGCCAGCATCAGATCTTGCAGTCTGCAGCTCATCTTTACCTCTGCATTGTTCTGCTCACACTGACTTGGTGTTGTCTGCAACGGGCGTGAGCTGGATGGATTCGTCACCTCCAGCGCTGGCTGCCTGTGAGCTCGGACCACCATTGCCTCTGCGCGGGCGTGCAAAGCTTGGCATCTCAGCACTGGCATCAGACTGCTCGGCACCGGGCCTATCTCTGCTGTTACGAGGGGCAGCGCAGATGGGTTTCCCGCTACTTGTGTCGGACTTTGTTGGCTTGGGCTCCCCATCACCTTTGCGCAGTGGTTCGCAATGTGACTCCTCGCTGCTGGCATCGAGCCATGTGCAGTCTGGCTTGCCTCTGTCTCTTCACAGTGTGTCCCGGACAGACTTTGCACTTCTTGTGTCGGAAGCTGCCAGTCCAGACTTGTTGTTATTGTTGCGAGGTGGGTCCCAGCCTGATCTTGCCTTGTTGGTTCTGGATGCCTCGCACCTGGGTTCCGTGCTGTTCCCTCGCAGCTTTGCGCACCCGGGTTCGCCACTTCTTGCGCCCGACGTGGTGCATGCAGACCTGTCTCTGCTGCTGCAGTGTCACGGCTGAGCAGATGCCCCTCCTCCTGTTCCCGGCATCTCGCGCGCGGGTTCTTCCGCACTGGCACCTGACTTTACACAGTCGGAATCACCGTCGTCCCTGCACGGCTGGGCGCACCTCAGCCCCTCTCCTTCAGTGCTGGGCTTTGCTCATCTGGGATTTCCTACACCGCTGCACGGACTTTCTTGGGTCGGAAGTGTTTCGCTGGTGATGGATCTCGTTCACCTGGACTTCTTCTTGCTTTCGAGAGGTGCTGCTTGGACCGAGCCTGTTTTGTTTGTGCCGCAGGGTGCATCATTGGATTCATTTCCGCTTCTACAAAGTGCAGCTTGCATGGACGCGTCCCTGCCTGCATCAGATCTTGCCGTCTACAGCTCATCTTTACCGCTGCAGTGTTCTGCTCACACTGACCTGGTGTTGTCTGCAACGGGCGTGAGCTGGATGGATTCGTTACCTCCAGTGCTGGCTGCCTGTGAGCTCGGACCACCATTGCCTCTGCGCGGGCGTGCAAAGCTTGGCATCTCAGCACTGGCATCAGACTGCTCGGCACCGGGCCTATCTCTGCTGTTACGAGGGGCAGCGCAGATGGGTTTCCCGCTACTTGTGTCGGACTTTGTTGGCTTGGGCTCCCCATCACCTTTGCGCAGTGGTTCGCAATGTGACTCCTCGCTGCTGGCATCGAGCCATGTGCAGTCTGGCTTGCCTCCGTCTCTTCACAGTGTGTCCCGGACGGACTTTGCACTTCTTGTGTCGGAAGCTGCCAGTCCAGACTTGTTGTTATTGTTGCGAGGTGGGTCCCAGCCTGATCTTGCCTTGCTGGTTCTGGATGCCTCGCACCTGGGTTCCGTGCTGTTCCCTCGCAGCTTTGCGCACCCGGGTTCGCCACTTCTTGCGCCCGACGTGGTGCATGCAGACCTGTCTCTGCTGCTGCAGTGTCACGGCTGAGCAGATGCCCCTCCTCCTGTTCCCGGCATCTCGCGCGCGGGTTCTTCCGCACTGGCACCTGACTTTACACAGTCGGAGTCACCGTCGTCCCTGCACGGTTGGGCGCACCTCGGCCCCTCTCCTTCAGTGCTGGGCTTTGCTCATCTGGGATTCCCCACACCGCTGCACGGACTTGCTTGGATCGGAAGTGTTCCGCTGGTGCTGGATCTCGTTCACATGGACTTCTTCTTGCTTTCGAGAGGTGCTGCCTGGACCGAGCCTGTTTTGTTTGTGCCGCAGGGTGCATCTTTGGATTCATTGCCGTTTCTACGAAGTGCAGCATGCCTGGACACAGCTTTGCTTGCACTTGATTGTGCTCAGCTAGGGTCCCCTCTGCTGTTGCGGGGGCCATCACACTCAGAGCCCTCCTTGCCAGCATCAGATCTTGCAGTCTGCAGCTCATCTTTACCTCTGCATTGTTCTGCTCACACTGACTTGGTGTTGTCTGCAACGGGCGTGAGCTGGATGGATTCGTTACCTCCAGTACTGGCTGCCTGTGAGCTCGGACTACCATTGCCTCCTCGCGGGCGTGCAAAGCTTGGCATCTCAGCACTGGCATCAGACTGCTCGGCACCGGGCCTATCTCTGCTGTTACGAGGGGCGGCGCAGATGGGTTTCCTGCTGCTTGTGTCGGACTTTGTTGGCTTGGGCTCCCCATCACCTTTGCGCAGTGGTTCGCAATGTGACTCCTCGCTGCTGGCATCGAGCCATGTGCAGTCTGGCTTGCCTCCGTCTCTTCACAGTGTGTCCTGGACGGACTTTGCACTTCTTGTGTCGGAAGCTGCCAGTCCAGACTTGTTGGTGTTGTTGAGGGGCGTATTTCAACCTGAATTGGCCTTGTTGGTTGTGAGTACGTCATCCTTCGGTTCACCGCCGCCCTTACAGTCAGCTGCTTGACTGGAGCTGCCGCTTTTAGTTTCAGACGTTTCGACTCCCGGCTCTCTGCCGCTGCTCCGCGGAGTTGCCAGGCTAGATCTCCCGTCGTCTGTGGTAGACCTTGTGCACTTCGACCTGCTCCCTCCCTCGAAGGGTCTGGCGTGGCCCGGCCCAGTGCCTTTGGCCCCTGATCCGGCGCAACCAGGCTTGGCATCGCCGTCACGGGGAGTGTCGTGTGCAGGAAGCGTGATGTTTGCAGCTGACTCTACCCACCTCGATCTACCACCATCCTCACAGAGCTCTGTGCAAACCGCTTTGCTCATGTCGCTGTCAGGAGTTGCAAAATCTGAGTTGTTTCTGTTTGCCTTGGGGGTCTCACATTCTGGTTCCGCGCTGCTTCTGCATGGATCTGCACAAGTTGGTGTGTTTTTGAGTGTGCCAGATGCTACCCAGCTTGGATTTCTTCTGTTGTTGAGGGGTCCAGCGCAGCTGGAGCTTGGGTTGCCGGCAGCAGATTTCATTGCTCTAGGACCCTCCTCGTCACTGCAGGGGTGCTCGCACCCTGGCAGCACGCCACTCGTTCTTGACAGCACGCAATTGGGTCTGTCCTCGCTTCCAAGGGGCGCGTCGAAGTCGGAGGTTGGCATGCTCGTGTTAGACGTTGTGCGCACTGACCTACTGCTGTTATCACGTCACTTTGCTCAGCTCAGTTTGTTGCTGCCGGCGCTGGGCGGCAGTCGCATGGACGTCTCACTTTCAGTGCTGTCCGTCGCCACGCTGGAGTCCTCCCTGCTACCTCAAGGCCACCAACGCTCGGGTCGCACACCTCCCGTACCTGACAACGCAAATCCAGAATCTTGCCTGTTACTTCGAAGCACTGCCAGGCTGGGAAGCTCCCTGCCAGCGTCCGACAGTGCCTACTCTGGCTTTTTCTCGCCTGTCAGGGGCTGCCTGAAGTCAGGCTTCGCTTCCTGTACTCAGGTGAACCATCTCGTTGGCAGCACACCGTTTGTGACTGGAATCACGTGCCTGGAGGGCTTCCTGCTGGTCTTGGACTTCTCACATCTGGGCTTTCTTCCTCCATCGCATGGTCCCGCCTGTCTTGAGCTCATCCCGCCCGCATCAGATAGTGTCAGCCCCGGTTCTGCACCACTATTGCAAGCACCCACCTGGCCAAACTTGGTGTTGCCTGTACCTGATCCAGTAAGTCTGGGATCTTCCCTGCTTCTGCGCGGGTCTTCTTGCGTGGGGTCAGCACCTTTTGCCGTCGACTGTGCGCAGTTAGGCTTCTTGCTATCACTTCAAGGTTGCAGTCGATGTGGCCCAGCTTTATCGGTGTTGGAGCTGGTGCAACTAAGTCCGCTGCTTCCTTTAAAGAGCTGTGCACGGCCAGGGTCATCGCCCTTTGCACCGCATTCTGCTGGCCTCGGAAGTTCACCATTCTCGAGAAGCCTAGCATGAGTGGATGCGCCTATGTCAGCATTGTCCACAGCCCGGTCTGGTTCCGCCACGCCAGTGCTTGGGCGCACTTCCTCAGGTCCCTTCCTGTTCTTGCACGGCTCGGCGCGTCCCGATTTCTTTTCGCTGGTTCTTGAAGCTGCATCCCCAGGATCTACCCTTCCGCCAAGAGGAGCGTCACGCACGGATGTTGTTCCGTCAGCAGCAGGTCTTGTAAACACGGGCTCATTCCCATCACCGCGGGGCTCGTGCTGCGTCGACCTTCCGTCGCCCGTCTTGGAGGTTGCGAGCCTGGAGTCTCCTCTGCCATTGCACGGCAGCGCTTGCCCGGGACTACCTTTGCTGGCTCTTAGTTGTGTGCAGCTTGGACTGCTGCCATTGCTCAGAGGCATGACATGACTGGGTCCACTGTTGCTCGTTCTTGATTGTGCTTCTGCCAGCTCATCGCCCTCATTGCAACACTTTGCTTGCTCTGGCTCGCTCCTGCCAGTGGTTGGCATATCTCGGTTGGAATTGCCGTTATCGGTTCTTGGCATGGCCAGTCTCGAATTGTTGCTGTTGTTGAGAGGCGTTGCATGTCTCGAGCCCGCATCATCAGCCCTTGACAGTTCGCATTCAGGCCTGGTTCTGTTTTTGCAAGGATGCTCCAGAGCTGGCCTGGCTCTGCCAGTGTTGGACTCTGTTGCTCTGGGCCCATCCCTGCCACCTCACACCCTGTCCAAGCTTGGTTCGGGCTTGCTGGTAGCAGGAGCCGTGAGCGCAGGCTTGGTTCTGTCGGTGCTGGGCATGTGCAGCTTTGGACTTTTCTTGTTTCTCCGTGGTCTGGCCAGGCTGGAATCGGCAACGTCCGTCCCCGATAGCGCACATTCAGGGCCAGTGCTGTTTTTGCATGGCTCGGCTCGACTTGGCCTGCCCTTGTCCGCACTCGAAGATGTGACAATGGACTCTGCACTTTCGCCAAGAGGAGCGTCACGCACGGATGTTGTTCCGTCAGCAGCAGGTCTTGTAAACACGGGCTCATTTCCATCACCGCGGGGCTCGTGCTGCGTCGACCTTCCGTCGCCCGTCTTGGAGGTTGCGAGCCTGGAGTCTCCTCTGCCATTGCACGGCAGCGCTTGCCCGGGACTACCTTTGCTGGCTCTTAGTTGTGTGCAGCTTGGACTGCTGCCATTGCTCAGAGGCATGACATGACTGGGTCCACTGTTGCTCGTTCTTGATTGTGCTTCTGCCAGCTCATCGCCCTCATTGCAACACTTTGCTTGCTCTGGCTCGCTCCTGCCAGTGGTTGGCATATCTCGGTTGGAATTGCCGTTATCGGTCCTTGGCATGGCCAGTCTCGAATTGTTGCTGTTGTTGAGAGACGTTGCATGTCTCGAGCCCGCATCATCAGCCCTTGACAGTTCGCATTCAGGCCTGGTTCTGTTTTTGCAAGGATGCTCCAGAGCTGGCCTGGCTCTGCCAGTGTTGGACTCTGTTGCTCTGGGCCCATCCCTGCCACCTCACACCCTGTCCAAGCTTGGTTCGGGCTTGCTGGTAGCAGGAGCCGTGAGCGCAGGCTTGGTTCTGTCGGTGCTGGGCATGTGCAGCTTTGGACTTTTCTTGTTTCTCCGTGGTCTGGCCAGGCTGGAATCGGCAACGTCCGTCCCCGATAGCGCACATTCAGGGCCAGTGCTGTTTTTGCATGGCTCGGCTCGACTTGGCCTGCCCTTGTCCGCACTCGAAGATGTGACAATGGACTCTGCACTTTCGCCAAGAGGAGCGTCACGCACGGATGTTGTTCCGTCAGCAGCAGGTCTTGTAAACACGGGCTCATTTCCATCACCGCGGGGCTCGTGCTGCATCGACCTTCCGTCGCCCGTCTTGGAGGTTGCGAGCCTGGAGTCTCCTCTGCCATTGCACGGCAGCGCTTGCCCGGGACTACCTTTGCTGGCTCTTAGTTGTGTGCAGCTTGGACTGCTGCCATTGCTCAGAGGCATGACATGACTGGGTCCACTGTTGCTCGTTCTTGATTGTGCTTCTGCCAGCTCATCGCCCTCATTGCAACACTTTGCTTGCTCTGGCTCGCTCCTGCCAGTGGTTGGCATATCTCGGTTGGAATTGCCGTTATCGGTCCTTGGCATGGCCAGTCTCGAATTGTTGCTGTTGTTGAGAGGCGTTGCATGTCTCGAGCCCGCATCATCAGCCCTTGACAGTTCACATTCAGGCCTGGCTCTGTTTTTGCAAGGATGCTCCAGAGCTGGCCTGGCTCTGCCAGTGTTGGACTCTGTTGCTCTGGGCCCATCCCTGCCACCTCACACCCTGTCCAAGCTTGGTTCGGGCTTGCTGGTAGCAGGAGCCGTGAGCGCAGGCTTGGTTCTGTCGGTGCTGGGCATGTGCAGCTTTGGACTTTTCTTGTTTCTCCGTGGTCTGGCCAGGCTGGAATCGGCAACGTCCGTCCCCGATAGCGCACATTCAGGGCCAGTGCTGTTTTTGCATGGCTCGGCTCGACTTGGCCTGCCCTTGTCCGCACTCGAAGATGTGACAATGGACTCTGCACTTTCGCCAAGAGGAGCGTCACGCACGGATGTTGTTCCGTCAGCAGCAGGTCTTGTAAACACGGGCTCATTTCCATCACCGCGGGGCTCGTGCTGCGTCGACCTTCCGTCGCCCGTCTTGGAGGTTGCGAGCCTGGAGTCTCCTCTGCCATTGCACGGCAGCGCTTGCCCGGGACTACCTTTGCTGGCTCTTAGTTGTGTGCAGCTTGGATTGCTGCCATTGCTCAGAGGCATGACATGACTGGGTCCACTGTTGCTCGTTCTTGATTGTGCTTCTGCAAGCTCATCGCCCTCATTGCAACACTTTGCTTGCTCTGGCTCGCTCCTGCCAGTGGTTGGCATGTCTCGGTTGGAATTACCCTTATCGGTACTTGGCATGGCCAGTCTCGATTTGTTACTGTTTTTGCGAGGCGTTGCATGACTCGAACCCGCATCATCAGCCCTTGACAGTTCGCATTCAGGCCTGGTTCTGTCTTTGCAAGGATGCTCCAGAGCTGGCCTAGCTCTGCCAGTGTTGGACTCTGTTGCTCTGGGCCCATCCCTGCCACTTCACACCCTGTCCCAGCTTGGTTCGGGTTTGCTGGTAGCAGGAGCCGTGCGCACAGGCTTGGTTCTGTCGGCGTTGGGCATGTGCAGCTTTGAATCCTTCTTGTTTCTCCGGGGTGCGGCCAGGCTTGATTTGGCTATGTTGGTCCCTGACTGCGCGCATCTAGGCCCAGTGCTGTTATTGCATGGCCTGGCTCGGCTAGGTCCGTTCTTGCCTGCCCTTGAAGCTACGTCCCCGGGCTTTGTGTTGCTGCCGCGAGGAGTGTCCCACACGGAATCTGTTCTGTCCGCACCCGGCGTCGTAGCCCTCGGCCCCTCTCTGTCACCGCAAAGCACGTGCTGCATTGACCTCGCGCTGCCCGCCTTGGAAGTTGCAAGCCTGGAGCCGCTGCTGTTCTTGCGTGGCAGCTCCTGCACTGGTCCATTTTTGCTGGCTCTTGGTTCCGTGCAGCCTGGACTGTTGCTACTGCCGAGAGGCACGGCGTGAGTGGGTCTGCTGTCGCCAGTTCTTGACCGTGCTTCCATCAGTTCGTCGCTGTCTTTGCAGCATCTTGCTTGCTCTGGCTCGCTGTTGCCAATCGCCGGCACATCTCGTTTGGACTCGTTTTTGTCTGCACTTGGCATGGCCAGTCTCGAATTGTTGCTGTTGTTGAGAGGCGTTGCATGTCTCGAGCCCGCATCATCAGCCCTTGACAGTTCACATTCAGGCCTGGCTCTGTTTTTGCAAGGATGCTCCAGAGCTGGCCTGGCTCTGCCAGTGTTGGACTTTGCTGCTCTGGGCCCATCCCTGCCACTTCACACCCCGTCCCAACTTGGTTCGGGCTTGCTGGTAGCAGGAGCCGTGCGCGCAGGCTTGGTTCTGTCGGTGCTGGGCATGTGCAGCTTTGGACTTTTCTTGTTTCTCCGTGGTCTGGCCAGGCTGGAATCGGCAACGTCCGTCCCCGATAGCGCACATTCAGGGCCAGTGCTGTTTTTGCATGGCTCGGCTCGACTTGGCCTGCCCTTGTCCGCACTCGAAGATGTGACAATGGACTCTGCACTTTCGCCAAGAGGAGCGTCACGCACGGATGTTGTTCCGTCAGCAGCAGGTCTTGTAAACACGGGCTCATTTCCATCACCGCGGGGCTCGTGCTGCATCGACCTTCCGTCGCCCGTCTTGGAGGTTGCGAGCCTGGAGTCTCCTCTGCCATTGCACGGCAGCGCTTGCCCGGGACTACCTTTGCTGGCTCTTAGTTGTGTGCAGCTTGGACTGCTGCCATTGCTCAGAGGCATGACATGACTGGGTCCACTGTTGCTCGTTCTTGACTGTGCTTCTGCAAGCTCATCGCCCTCATTGCAACACTTTGCTTGCTCTGGCTCGCTCCTGCCAGTGGTTGGCATGTCTCGGTTGGAATTACCCTTATCGGTACTTGGCATGGCCAGTCTCGATGTGTTACTGTTTTTGCGAGGCGTTGCATGACTCGAACCCACATCATCAGCCCTTGACAGTTCGCATTCAGGCCTGGTTCTGTCTTTGCAAGGATGCTCCAGAGCTGGCCTAGCTCTGCCAGTGTTGGACTCTGTTGCTCTGGGCCCATCCCTGCCACTTCACACCCTGTCCCAGCTTGGTTCGGGTTTGCTGGTAGCAGGAGCCGTGCGCACAGGCTTGGTTCTGTCGGCGTTGGGCATGTGCAGCTTTGAATCCTTCTTGTTTCTCCGGGGTGCGGCCAGGCTTGATTTGGCTATGTTGGTCCCTGACGGCGTGCATTTAGGCCCAGTGCTGTTATTGCATGGCCTGGCTCGGCTAGGTCCGTTCTTGCCTGCCCTTGAAGCTACGTCCCCGGGCTTTGTGTTGCTGCCGCGAGGAGTGTCCCACACGGAATCTGTTCTGTCCGCACCCGGCGTCGTAGCCCTCGGCCCCTCTCTGTCACCGCAAAGCACGTGCTGCATTGACCTCGCGCTGCCCGCCTTGGAAGTTGCAAGCCTGGAGCCGCTGCTGTTCTTGCGTGGCAGCTCCTGCACTGGTCCATTTTTGCTGGCTCTTGGTTCCGTGCAGCCTGGACTGTTGCTACTGCCGAGAGGCACGGCGTGAGTGGGTCTGCTGTCGCCAGTTCTTGACCGTGCTTCCATCAGTTCGTCGCTGTCTTTACAGCATCTTGCTTGCTCTGGCTCGCTGTTGCCAATCGCCGGCGTATCTCGCACGGACTCGTTTTTGTCTGCACTTGGCATGGCCAGTCCCGACCTGCTCCTGTTGCCGAGGGGTGTTGCATGCCCGGAAGCTGCGCCATCGGCCCTTGACCGTGCACAACCAGAGTTGCCCTTGTCGTTGCGAGGGTGCTCCAGAGCAGGCCTGGCCCTGCCAGCGTTGGACTTTGCTACTCCGGGCCCATTTCTGCCACCACACACCATATCCTGGCTTGGTTCGGGTTTGCTTGTAGCAGGAGCCGTGCGAGCGGACTTCGTTCTGTCAGCTTTGGGCATGTGCAGCTCTGGATCTTTCTTGTTTCTCCGGGGCGCATCAAGGCTTGATTCGGCCATGTTGGTCCCTGACCGCGTGCATTTAGGCCCAGCGCTGTCACTGCATGGCCTGGCTCGACTAGGTCCGTTCTTGCCTGCCCTTGAAGCTACGTCCCCGGGCTTTGTCTCGCTGCTGCGAGGAGTGTCCCGCACGGAATCTGTTCTGTCCGCACCCGGCGTCGTAGCTTTCGGCCCCTCACTGTCATCGCAAAGCACGTGCTGCATTGACCTCGCGCTGCCCGCCTTGGAAGTTGCAAGCCTGGAGCCGCTGCTGTTCTTGCGTGGCAGCTCCTGCACTGGTCCATTTTTGCTGGCTCTTGGTTCCGTGCAGCCTGGACTGTTGCTACTGCCGAGAGGCACGGCGTGAGTGGGTCTGCTGTCGCCAGTTCTTGACCGTGCTTCCATCAGTTCGTCGCTGTCTTTGCAGCATCTTGCTTGCTCTGGCTCGCTGTTGCCAGTCGCCGGCGTATCTCGCACGGACTCGTTTTTGTCTGCACTTGGCATGGCCAGTCCCGACCTGCTCCTGTTGCCGAGAGGTGTTGCATGCCTGGAAGCTGCGCCATCGGCCCTTGACCGTGCACAACCAGAGTTGCCCTTGTCATTGCGAGGATGCTCCAGAGCGGGCCTGGCCCTGCCAGCGTTGGACTTTGCTACTCCGGGCCCATCCCTGCCCCCACACACCATATCCTGGCTTGGTTCGGGTTTGCTTGTAGCAGGAGCCGTGCGAGCGGACTTCGTTCTGTCAGCTTTGGGCATGTGCAGCTCTGGATCTTTCTTGTTTCTCCGGGGCGCATCAAGGCTTGATTCGGCCCTGTTGGTCCCTGACCGCGTGCATTTAGGCCCAGCGCTGTCACTGCATGGCCTGGCTCGACTAGGTCCGTTCTTGCCTGCCCTTGAAGCTACGTCCCCGGGCTTTGTCTCGCTGCTGCGAGGAGTGTCCCGCACGGAATCTGTTCCGTCCGCACCCGGCGTCGTAACCCTCGGCCCCTCACCGTCACCGCAAAGCACGTGCTGCATTGAGCTCGCGCTGTCCGTCTTGGAAGTCGCAAGCCTGGAGCCGCTGCTGTTCTTGCGTGGCAGCTCCTGCACTGGTCCATTTTTGCTGGCTCTTGGTTCCGTGCAGCCTGGACTGTTGCTACTGCCGAGAGGCACGGCGTGAGTGGGTCTGCTGTCGCCAGTTCTTGACCGTGCTTCCATCAGTTCGTCGCTGTCTTTACAGCACCTTGCTTGCTCTGGCTCACTGTTGCCAATCGCCGGCGTATCTCGCACGGACTCGTTTTTGTCTGCACTTGGCATGGCCAGTCCCGACCTGCTCCTGTTGCCGAGGGGTGTTGCATGCCCGGAAGCTGCGCCATCGACCCTTGACCGTGCACAACCAGAGTTGCCCTTGTCGTTGCGAGCGTGCTCCAGAGCTGGCCTGGCCCTGCCAGCGTTGGACTTTGCTACTCCGGGCCCATCCCTGCCACCACACACCATATCCTGGCTTGGTTCGGGTTTGCTTGTAGCAGGAGCTGTGCGAGCGGACTTCGTTCTGTCAGCTTTGGGCATGTGCAGCTCTGGATCTTTCTTGTTTCTCCAGGGCGCATCAAGGCTTGATTCGGCCATGTTGGTCCCTGACCGCGTGCATTTAGGTCCAGTGCTGTCACTGCATGGCCTGGCTCGTCTAGGTCTGTCCTTGCTTGCCCTTGAAGCTACGTCCCCGGGCTTTGTGTTGCTGCTGCGAGGAGTGTCCCGCACGGAATCTGTTCTGTCCGCACCCGGTGTCGTAACCCTCGGCCTCTCACTGTCATCGCAAAGCACGTGCTGCATTGAGCTCGCGCTGTCCGTCTTGGAAGTCGCAAGCCTGGAGCCGCTTCTGTTCTTGCGTGGCAGCTCCTGCACTGGCCCATTTTTGCTGGCTCTTGGTTCCGTGCAGCCTGGACTGTTGCTACTGCCGAGAGGCACGGCGTGAGTGGGTCTGCTGTCGCCAGTTCTTGACCGTGCTTCCATCAGTTCGTCGCTGTCTTTACAGCACCTTGCTTGTTCTGGCTCGCTGTTGCCAATCGCCGGCGTATCTCGCACGGACTCGTTTTTGTCTGCACTTGGCATGGCAAGTCCCGACCTGGTCCTGTTGCCGAGGGGTGTTGCATGCCCGGAAGCTGCGCCATCGGCCCTTGACCGTGCACAACCAGAGTTGCCCTTGTCGTTGCGAGCGTGCTCCAGAGCTGGCCTGGCCCTGCCAGCGTTGGACTTTGCTACTCCGGGCCCATCCCTGCCACCACACACCATATCCTGGCTTGGTTCGGGTTTGCTTGTAGCAGGAGCTGTGCGAGCGGACTTCGTTCTGTCAGCTTTGGGCATGTGCAGCTCTGGATCTTTCTTGTTTCTCCAGGGCGCATCAAGGCTTGATTCGGCCATGTTGGTCCCTGACCGCGTGCATTTAGGTCCAGTGCTGTCACTGCATGGCCTGGCTCGTCTAGGTCTGTCCTTGCTTGCCCTTGAAGCTACGTCCCCGGGCTTTGTGTTGCTGCTGCGAGGAGTGTCCCGCACGGAACCTGTTCTGTCCGCACCCGGCGTCGTAACCCTCGGCCTCTCACCGTCACCGCAAAGCACGTGCTGCATTGACCTCGCGCTGTCCGTCTTGGAAGTTGCAAGCCTGGAGCCGCTGCTGTTTTTGCGTGGCAGCTCCTGCACTGGTCCATTTTTGCTGGCTCTTGGTTCCGTGCAGCCTGGACTGTTGCTACTGTCAAGAGGCACGGCGTGAGTGGGTCTGCTCTCGCCAGTTCTTGACCGTGCTTCAATCAATTCGTCGCTGTCTTTGCAGCATCTTGCTTGTTCTGGCTCGCTGTTGCCAATCGCCGGCACATCTCGTTTGGAATCGTTTTTGTCTGCACTTGGCATGGCCAGTCCCGACCTGCTCCTGTTGCCGAGGGGTGTTGCATGCCCGGAAGCTGCCCCATCAGCACTTGACTGCGCACAACCAGAGTTGCCCTTGTCATTGCGAGGATGCTCCAGAGCGGGCCTGGCCCTGCCAGCGTTGGACTTTGCTGCTCCGGACCCATCCCTGCCACCACACACCATATCCTGGCTTGGTTCGGGTTTGCTTGCAGCAGGAGTCGTGCGAGCGGACTTCGTTCCGTCAGCTTTGGGCATGTGCAGCTTTGGACCTTTCTTGTTTCTCCGGGGCGCATCAAGGCTTGATTCGGCCATGTTGGTCCCTGACCGTGTGCATTTAGGTCCAGTGCTGTCACTGCATGGCCTGGCTCGTCTAGGTCTGTCCTTGCTTGCCCTTGAAGCGACGTCCCCAGGCTTGGCGTTGCTGCTGCGAGGGGTGTCCCACACGGAATCCGTTCTGTCCGCACCCGGTGTCGTAACCCTCGGCCCCTCACTGTCATCGCAAAGCACGTGCTGCATTGAGCTCGCGCTGTCCGCCTTGGAAGTTGCAAGCCTGGAGCCGCTTCTGTTCTTGCGTGGCAGCTCCTGCACTGGTCCATCTTTGCTGGCTCTTGGTTCCGTGCAGCCTGGACTGTTGCTACTGCCGAGAGGCACGGCGTGAGTGGGTCTACTGTTGCCCGTTCTTGACCGTGCTTCCATCAGTTCGTCGCTGTCTTTACAGCACCTTGCTTGCTCTGGCTCGCTGTCGCCAATCGCCGGCGTATCTCGCACGGACTCGTTTTTGTCTGCACTTGGCATGGCCAGTCCCGACCTGCTCCTGTTGCCGAGGGGTGTTGCATGCCCGGAAGCTGCGCCATCGGCCCTTGACCGTGCACAACCAGAGTTGCCCTTGTCGTTGCGAGGGTGCTCCAGAGCAGGCCTGGCCCTGCCAGCGTTGGACTTTGCTACTCCGGGCCCATTTCTGCCACCACACACCATATCCTGGCTTGGTTCGGGTTTGCTTGTAGCAGGAGCCGTGCGAGCGGACTTCGTTCTGTCAGCTTTGGGCATGTGCAGCTCTGGATCTTTCTTGTTTCTCCAGGGCGCATCAAGGCTTGATTCGGCCATGTTGGTCCCTGACCGTGTGCATTTAGGTCCAGTGCTGTCACTGCATGGCCTGGCACGTCTAGGTCTGTCCTTGCTTGCCCTTGAAGCTACGTCCCCAGGCTTTGTCTCGCTGCTGCGAGGAGTGTCCCACATGGAATCCGTTCTGTCCGCACCCGGCGTCGTAACCCTCGGCCCCTCACTGTCATCGCAAAGCACGTGCTGCATTGAGCTCACGCTGTCCGCCTTGGAAGTCGCAAGCCTGGAGTCGCTTCTGTTCTTGCGTGGCAGCTCCTGCACTGGTCCATCTTTGCTGGCTCTTGGTTCCGTGCAGCCTGGACTGCTGCCACTGCCGAGAGGCACGGCGTGAGTGGGTCTATTGTTGCCCGTTCTTGACCGTGCTTCCATCAGTTCGTCACTGTCTTTACAGCATCTTGCCTGCTCTGGATCGCTGTTGCCGATCGCCGGCGTATCTCGCACGGACTCGTTTTTGTCTGCACTTGGCATGGCCAGTCCCGACCTGCTCCTGTTGCCGAGAGGTGTTGCATGCCCGGAAGCTGCCCCACCGGCATTTGACCATGCGCAACCAGAGTTGCCCTTGTCATTGCGAGGATGCTCCAGAGCGGGCCTGGCCTTGCCAGTGTTGGACTTTGCTACTCCGGGCCCATCCCTGCCACCACACACCATATCCTGGCTTGGTTCGGGTTTGCTTGTAGCAGGAGCCGTGCGAGCGGACTTCGTTCTGTCAGCTTTGGGCATGTGCAGCTCTGGATCTTTCTTGTTTCTCCGGGGCGCATCAAGGCTTGATTCGGCCATGTTGGTCCCTGACCGTGTGCATTTAGGTCCAGTGCTGTCACTGCATGGCCTGGCACGACTAGGTCTGTCCTTGCTTGCCCTTGAAGCTACGTCCCCAGGCTTTGTGTTGCTGCTGCGAGGAGTGTCCCACATGGAATCCGTTCTGTCCGCACCCGGCGTCGTAGCCCTCGGCCCCTCACTGTCATCGCAAAGCACGTGCTGCATTGAGCTCGCACTGTCCGTCTTGGAAGTCGCAAGCCTGGAGCCGCTGCTGTTTTTGCGTGGCAGCTCCTGCACTGGTCCATTTTTGCTGGCCCTTGGTTCCGTGCAGCCTGGACTGTTGCTACTGCCGAGAGGCACGGCCTGAGCGGGTCTACTGTTGCCCGTTCTTGACCGTGCATCCATCAGTTCGTCGCTGTCTTTACAGCATCTTGCTTGCTCTGGCTCGCTGTTGCCAATCGCCGGCGTATCTCGCACGGACTCGTTTTTGTCTGCACTTGGCATGGCCAGTCCCGACCTGCTCCTGTTGCCGAGAGGTGTTGCATGCCTGGAAGCTGCCCCATCGGCCCTGGACCGTGCACAACCAGAGTTGCCCTTGTCATTGCGAGGATGCTCCAGAGCGGGCCTGGCCTTGCCAGTGTTGGACTTTGCTACTCCGGGCCCATCCCTGCCACCACACACCATATCCTGGCTTGGTTCGGGTTTGCTTGTAGCAGGAGCCGTGCGAGCGGACTTCGTTCTGTCAGCTTTGGGCATGTGCAGCTCTGGATCTTTCTTGTTTCTCCGGGGCGCATCAAGGCTTGATTCGGCCATGTTGGTCCCTGACCGTGTGCATTTAGGTCCAGTGCTGTCACTGCATGGCCTGGCTCGTCTGGGTCTGTCCTTGCTTGCCCTTGAAGCTACGTCCCCGGGCTTTGTGTTGCTGCTGCGAGGGGTGTCCCACACGGAACCTGTTCTGTCCGCACCCGGCGTCGTAACCCTCGGCCCCTCACTGTCATCGCAAAGCACGTGCTGCATTGAGCTCGCGCTGTCCGTCTTGGAAGTCGCAAGCCTGGAGTCGCTTCTGTTCTTGCGTGGCAGCTCCTGCACTGGTCCATTTTTGCTGGCTCTTGGTTCCGTGCAGCCTGGACTGTTGCTACTGCCGAGAGGCACGGCCTGAGCGGGTCTACTGTTGCCCGTTCTTGACCGTGCATCCATCAGTTCGTCGCTGTCTTTACAGCATCTTGCTTGCTCTGGCTCGCTGTTGCCCATCGCCGGCGTATCTCGCACGGACTCGTTTTTGTCTGCACTTGGCATGGCCAGTCCCGACCTGCTCCTGTTGCCGAGAGGTGTTGCATGCCTGGAAGCTGACCCATCGGCCCTGGACCGTGCACAACCAGAGTTGCCCTTGTCATTGCGAGGATGTTCCAGAGCGGGCCTGGCCCCGCCAGCGTTGGACTTTGCTGCTCCGGGCCCATCCCTGCCACCACACACCATATCCTGGCTTGGTTCGGGTTTGCTTGTAGCAGGAGCCGTGCGAGCGGACCTCGTTCTGTCAGCTTTGGGCGTGTGCAGCTTTGGATCTTTCTTGTTTCTCCAGGGCGCATCGAGGCTTGATTCGGCAATGTTGGTCCCTGACCGTGTGCATTTAGGTCCAGTGCTGTCACTTCATGGCCTGGCTCGTCTAGGTCTTTCCTTGCCTGCCCTTGAAGCTACGTCCCCGGGCTTTGTGTTGCTGCTGCGAGGAGTGTCCCACACGGAATCCGTTCTGTCCGCACCCGGCGTCGTAACCCTCGGCCCCTCACCGTCACCGCAAAGCACGTGCTGCATTGACCTCGCGCTGTCCGTCTTGGAAGTCGCAAGCCTGGAGCCGCTGCTGTTTTTGCGTGGCAGCTCCTGCACTGGTCCATTTTTGCTGGCTCTTGGTTCCGTGCAGCCTGGACTGTTGCTACTGCCGAGAGGCACGGCCTGAGCGGGTCTACTGTTGCCCGTTCTTGACCGTGCATCCATCAGTTCGTCGCTGTCTTTACAGCATCTTGCCTGCTCTGGCTCGCTGTTGCCCATCGCCGGCGTATCTCGCACGGACTCGTTTTTGTCTGCACTTGGCATGGCCAGTCCCGACCTGCTCCTGTTGCCGAGAGGTGTTGCATGCCCGGAAGCTGCGCCATCGGCCCTTGACCGTGCACAACCAGAGTTGCCCTTGTCGTTGCGAGGGTGCTCCAGAGCTGGCCTGGCCCTGCCAGCGTTGGACTTTGCTGCTCCGGGCCCATCCCTGCCACCACACACCATATCCTGGCTTGGTTCGGGTTTGCTTGTAGCAGGAGCCGTGCGAGCGGACCTCGTTCTGTCAGCTTTGGGCGTGTGCAGCTTTGGATCTTTCTTGTTTCTCCAGGGCGCATCGAGGCTTGATTCGGCCATGTTGGTCCCTGACCGTGTGCATTTAGGTCCAGTGCTGTCACTGCATGGCCGGGCGCGGCTAGGCCTTCCCTTGCTTGCCCTTGAAGCTACGTCCCCGGGCTTTGTGTTGCTGCTGCGAGGAGTGTCCCGCACGGAATCTGTTCTGTCCGCACCCGGCGTCGTAACCCTCGGGCCCTCACTGTCATCGCAAAGCACGTGCTGCATTGACCTCGTGCTGTCCGTCTTGGAAGTCGCAAGCCTGGAGCCGCTGCTGTTCTTGCGTGGCAGCTCCTGTACTGGTCCATTTTTGCTAGCTCTTGGTTCTGTGCAGCCTGAATTGCTGCCATTGCTGAGAGGCGCGGCTTGCGTGGGCCTGCTGTCGCCTGTTCTTGACTGCGCTTCCATCAGTTCGTCGCTGTCTTTGCAGCACCTTGCTTGCTCTGGCTCGCTGTTGCCAATCGCCGGCGTATCTCGCACGGACTCGTTTTCGTCCGCACTTGGCATGGCCAGTCCCGACCTGCTCCTGTTGCCGAGAGGTGTTACGTGCCCGGAAGCTGCCCCATCGGCCCTTGACCGTGCACAACCAGAGTTGCCCTTGTCGTTGCGAGCGTGCTCCAGAGCTGGCCTGGCCCTGCCAGCGTTGGACTTTGCTACTCCGGGCCCATCCCTGCCACCACACACCATATCCTGGCTTGGTTCGGGTTTGCTTGTAGCAGGAGCCGTGCGAGTGGACTTCGTTCTGTCAGCTTTGGGCATGTGCAGCTCTGGATCTTTCTTGTTTCTCCGGGGCGCATCAAGGCTTGATTCGGCCATGTTGGTCCCTGACCGCGTGCATTTAGGTCCAGTGCTGTCACTGCATGGCCTGGCACGACTAGGTCTGTCCTTGCTTGCCCTTGAAGCTACGTCCCCAGGCTTTGTGTTGCTGCTGCGAGGAGTGTCCCACATGGAATCCGTTCTGTCCGCACCCGGCGTCGTAACCCTCGGCCCCTCACCGTCACCGCAAAGCACGTGCTGCATTGACCTCGCACTGTCCGTCTTGGAAGTCGCAAGCCTGGAGCCGCTGCTGTTTTTGCGTGGCAGCTCCTGCACTGGTCCATTTTTGCTGGCCCTTGGTTCCGTGCAGCCTGGACTGTTGCTACTGCCGAGAGGCACGGCCTGAGCGGGTCTACTGTTGCCCGTTCTTGACCGTGCTTCCATCAGTTCGTCGCTGTCTTTACAGCATCTTGCCTGCTCTGGCTCGCTGTTGCCAGTCGCCGGCGTATCTCGCACGGACTCGTTTTTGTCTGCACTTGGCATGGCCAGTCCCGACCTGCTCCTGTTGCCGAGAGGTGTTGCATGCCTGGAAGCTGCCCCATCGGCCCTTGACAGTGCACAACCAGAGTTGCCCTTGTCATTGCGAGGATGTTCCAGAGCGGGCCTGGCCCCGCCAGCGTTGGACTTTGCTGCTCCGGGCCCATCCCTGCCACCACACACCATATCCTGGCTTGGTTCGGGTTTGCTTGTAGCAGGGGCCGTGCAAGTGGACTTCGTTCTGCCAGCACTGGGCATGTGCAGCTTTGGACCGTTCTTGTTTCTCCGGGGTGCCTCAAGGCTTGATTCGGCTATGTTGGTCCCTGACCGTGTGCATTTAGGCCCAGTGCTGTCACTTCATGGCCTGGCTCGGCTAGGTCTTTCCTTGCTTGCCCTTGAAGCTACGTCCCCGGGCTTTGTGTTGCTGCTGCGAGGAGTGTCCCGCACGGAATCTGTTCTGCCCGCACCCGGCGTCGTAACCCTCGGCCCCTCACTGTCATCGCAAAGCACGTGCTGCATTGACCTCGTGCTGTCCGTCTTGGAAGTCGCAAGCCTGGAGCCGCTGCTGTTCTTGCGTGGCAGCTCCTGCACTGGTCCATTTTTGCTAGCTCTTGGTTCTGTGCAGCCTGGATTGCTGCCATTGCTGAGAGGCGCGGCTTGCGTGGGCCTGCTGTCGCCTGTTCTTGACTGCGCTTCCATCAGTTCGTCGCTGTCTTTGCAGCACCTTGCTTGCTCTGGCTCGCTGTTGCCAATCGCTGGCGTATCTCGCACGGACTCGTTTTCGTCTGCACTTGGCATGGCCAGTCCTGACCTGATCCTGCTGCTGAGAGGTGTTACGTGTCTAGACATTTTGCTGTCCGTACTAGGGTGCGGTCATCTGGCTTTCTTCCTGCCTTTGCATGCATGCTCCTGTGCTGGTGTGGCTTCGTTTGTTTTGGATTTTGTCATGCTTGGCTTACTTCTTTCCTTGCAAACCATGGCTTAGCCAGGCTTTGGCTTGCCTTTACCTGGAAGCGCATGCACAGGGTCAGTTCCACTGGCCCTCGGAGCATGCAGCTCTGATTCTCCTTCATTTCCTCAAGGTGCTTCTTATGCTGATCCAGCCATGTTGGTGCTTGGCTCTGTTCATCCGGGGCTTGTTCCTCCGTTGCACGGTTTGGCTCAGGCTGACTCTGTGCTGTCAGCACTCGATGCTGTGAACCCCGGCTCTGTGCTGTCTTTGCAGGGCGTGAGCCATATGGGTGCAGTTCTGCTAGCGCTTGGGGCTGTGTCGATAGGCTTTGCACTGTCGCCCCAAAGCTTTTGCTGCCTCGATCTGCTGTTGTTTGCTTTGAAAACTGTGCAACTGGGGTTGCTGTTGCTGTTGCGGGGTGTAGCTTGGCTTGATTCGCTTTTGTCAGTGTTGGGTCGCGGTCAGGTTGGCTCTCTACTTCCAACCTCAGATTCTGCTCAGATTGAGCTGCCCCTCTTTTTGCACGGCCTACTGCGTCTGGGACTGCCCCCTCCGGCTTGTGGCTGCACACGATCAGGAACGTCTCTGCCAGCGCTTGGCTTTCTCAATCTAGAACCTCTTCCGTTTCCTCAAGGCCTAGCGTGTGCTGATCTTGCAATGTCTGCCCCAAGTACGACCAGCCTTGAATTCTTACCGTTACCTCGTGGCTTGGCCAGGCTGGGCCCGTTGCCTTCAGTGCTGGACATGGCGCAGTTTGGCTTGTCGCTCTCGCCGAAGGCTGTGGCAAGGTCGGGTTCAGCCTTGTTCGCGGCAGGGGTTGCAAATCCTGGGCCTTTGTTGCTTGTCCTCGGCGTTGCAACGTTGGGCCCCGCACTGCCACTGCATGGTGTAAGTTGTGCTGGGGTGGCATCATCGGTTTTTGACTGCGTCTCCCTTGGCTCATCACCGCTTCTGCAGGGGCGGGCTCGTGTGGACTTGCTGCTGTCAGCAGCTGATGCTGTTGCACCCGGTTCACCACTGTTGCTGCAAGGTGTCTCCTGCACGGGCTCGGCTCTTCCAGCTCCGGGCGCCACAACACCAGAGTTGCCGCCACCTCTGCAGAGCTACGTGCGGATTGGTCCGCCCTTGCCAGCGCTCGAAGCAGCCTCGTTAGAATTGCCCCTGCTGCCGCAAGGTGCTGCTCGCTCGGGGTCCGCACTTTTCGTGTCAGACATGGCCCACTGTGATCTTCCGCTGCCACTGCAAGGTGTTGCCTAGCCCGGAGTGTCTTTGCCAGCAGCCGATGTCGTCAGCATGGATCCGCCATTGTTGGTACAATGCACGGTGCGCTTGGGTTTCTCGATTCTCGTTCTTGGCACGTCGAGCCTAGGCTCTTTGCCTCCAGTCCTTGGAGTAGCAAGTTCGGGCTCGTCACTTTCTCCTCGCGGCGCGGCATGCGCTGATCTTGCTATGTCTGTCCCAAGTACGACCAGCTTTGAATTCTTACCGTTGCCTCGTGGCTTGGCCAGGCTGGGCCCGTTGCCTTCAGTGCTGGACATGGCGCAGTTTGGCTTGTCGCTCTCGCCGAAGGCTGTGGCAAGGTCGGGTTCAGCCTTGTTCGCGGCAGGGCTTGCAAATCCTGGGCCTTTGTTGCTTGTCCTCGGCGTTGCAACGTTGGGCCCGGTGTTGCCACTGCATGGTGTAAGTTGTGCTGGGGTGGCATCATCGGTTTTTGACTGCGTCTCCCTTGGCTCATCACTGCTTCTGCAGGGGCGGGCTCGTGTGGACTTGCTGCTGTCAGCAGCTGATGCTGTTGCACCCGGTTCACCACTGTTGCTGCAAGGTGTCTCCTGCACGGGCTCGGCTCTTCCAGCTCCGGGCGCCGCAACACTAGAGTTGCCGCCGCCTCTCCACAGCTACGCGCGCATTGGTCCGTCCTTGCCCGCGCTCGCAGAAGCCTCGTTAGAATCGCCCCTGCTGCCGCAAGGTGCTGCTCGCTCGGGGTCCGCACTTTTCGTGTCAGACATGGCCCACTGTGATCTTCCGCTGCCACTGCAAGGTGTTGCCTAGCCCGGAGTGTCTTTGCCAGCAGCCGATGTCGTCAGCATGGATCCGCCATTGTTGGTACAATGCACGGTGCGCTTGGGTTTCTCGATTCTCGCTCTTGGCACGTCGAGCCTAGGCTCTTTGCCTCCAGTCCTTGGAGTAGCAAGCTCGGGCTTGTCACCTTCTCCTCGGGGCGTGGCATGTGCTGATCTTGCTATGTCTGCCCCAAGTACGACCAGCCTTGAACTCTTACCGTTGCCTCGTGGCTTGGCCAGGCTGGACCCAATGCCTTCAGTGCTGCACATGGCACAGTTTGGCTTGTCGCTCTCGCCGAAGGCTGTGGCAAGGTCGGGTTCAGCCTTGTTCGCGGCAGGGCTTGCAAATCCTGGGCCTTCGTTGCTTGTCCTCGGCGTTGCAACGTTGGGCCCGGTGCTGCCACTGCATGGTGTAAGTTGTGCTGGGGTGGCATCATCGGTTTTTGACTGCGTCTCCCTTGGCTCATCACTGCTGCTGCAGGGGCGGGCTCGTGTGGACGTCCTGTTGTCAGCAGCTGATGCTGTTGCACCCGGTTCACCACTGTTGCTGCAAGGTGTCTCCTGCACGGGCTCGGCTCTTCCAGCTCCGGGCGCCACAACACCAGAGTTGCCGCCACCTCTGCAGAGCTACGTGCGGATTGGTCCGCCCTTGCCAGCGCTCGAAGCAGCCTCGTTAGAATTGCCCCTGCTGCCGCAAGGTGCTGCTCGCTCGGGGTCCGCACTTTTCGTGTCAGACATGGCCCACTGTGATCTTCCGCTGCCACTGCAAGGTGTTGCCTAGCCCGGAGTGTCTTTGCCAGCAGCCGATGCCGTCAGCATGGATCCGCCATTGTTGGTACAATGCACGGTGCGCTTGGGTTTCTCGATTCTCGCTCTTGGCACGTCGAGCCTAGGCTCTTTGCCTCCAGTCCTTGGAGTAGCAAGTTCGGGCTCGTCACTTTCTCCTCGCGGCGCGGCATGCGCTGATCTTGCTATGTCTGTCCCAAGTACGACCAGCCTTGAATTCTTACCGTTGCCTCGTGGCTTGGCCAGGCTGGACTCATTGCCTTCAGTGCCGGACATGGCAGAGTTTGGCTTGTCGCTCTTGCCGAAGGCTGTGGCAAGGTCGGGTTCAGCCTCGTTCGCGGCAGGGGTTGCAAATCCTGGGCCTTTGTTGCTTGTCCTCGGCGTTGCAACTTTGGGCCCCGCACTGCCACTGCATGGTGTAAGTTGTGCCGGGGTGGCATCATCGGTTTTTGACTGCGTCTCCCTTGGCTCGTCACTGCTTCTGCAGGGGCGGGCTCGTGTGGACTTGCTGCTGTCAGCAGCTGATGCCGTTGCACCCGGTTCGCCACTGTTGCTGCAAGGTGTCTCCTGCACGGGCTCGGCTCTTCCAGCTCCGGGCGCCACAACACCAGAGTTGCCGCCGCCTCTGCACAGCTACGCGTGCATTGGTCCGTCCTTGCCCGCGCTCGCAGAAGCCTCGTTAGAATTGCCCCTGCTGCCGCAAGGTGCTGCTCGCTCGGGGTCCGCACTTTTCGTGTCAGACATGGCCCACTGTGATCTTCCGTTGCCACTGCAAGGTGTTTCCTAGCCCGGAGTGTCGTTGCCAGCAGCCGATGCCGTCAGCATGGATCCGCCATTGTTGGTACAATGCACGGTGCGCTTGGGTTTCTCGATTCTCGCTCTTGGCACGTCGAGCCTAGGCTCTTTGCCTCCAGTCCTTGGAGTAGCAAGCTCGGGCTTGTCACCTTCTCCTCGGGGCGTGGCATGTGCTGATCTTGCTATGTCTGTCCCAAGTACGACTAGCCTTGAACTCTTACCGTTGCCTCGTGGCTTGGCCAGGCTGGACCCATTGCCTTCAGTGCTGGACATGGCACAGTTTGGCTTGTCGCTCTTGCCGAAGGCTGTGGCAAGGTCGGGTTCAGCCTCGTTCGCGGCAGGGGTTGCAAATCCTGGGCCTTTGTTGCTTGTCCTCGGCGTTGCAACTTTGGGCCCCGCGCTGCCACTGCATGGTGCAAGTTGTGCTGGGATGGCATCATCGGTTTTTGACTGCGTCTCCCTTGGCTCATCACTGCTGCTGCAGGGGCGGGCTCACGTGGACTTTCTGTTGTCAGCAGCTGATGCCGTTGCACCCGGTTCACCACTGTTGCTGCAAGGTGTCTCCTGCACGGGCTCGGCTCTTCCAGCTCCGGGCGCCACAACACCAGAGTTGCCGCCGCCTTTGCACAGCTACGCGCGCATTGGTCCGTCCTTGCCCGCGCTCGCAGCAGCCTCGTTAGAATTGCCCCTGCTGCCGCAAGGTGCTGCTCGCTCGGGGTCCGCACTTTTCGTGTCAGACATGGCCCACTGCGAACTTCCGCTGCCTCTGCAAGGTGTTGCCTAGCCCGGAGTGCCTTTGCTAGCAGCCGATGCCGTCAGCATGGATCCGCCATTGTTGGTACGATGCACGGTGCGCTTGGGTTTCTCGATTCTCGCTCTTGGCACGTCGAGCCTAGGCTCTTTGCCTCCAGTCCTTGGAGTAGCAAGCTCGGGCTTGTCACCTTCTCCTCGGGGCGTGGCATGTGCTGATCTTGCTATGTCTGTCCCAAGTACGACTAGCCTTGAACTCTTACCGTTGCCTCGTGGCTTGGCCAGGCTGGACCCATTGCCTTCAGTGCTGGACATGGCAGAGTTTGGCTTGTCGCTCTCGCCGAAGGCTGTGGCAAGGTTGGGCACAGCGTCGTTCGCGGCAGGGGTTGCAAATCCTGGGCCTTTGTTGCTTGTCCTCGGCGTTGCAACTTTGGGCCCCGCGTTGCCACTGCATGGTGTAAGTTGTGCTGGGGTGGCATCATCGGTTTTTGACTGCGTCTCCCTTGGCTCATCACTGCTTCTGCAGGGGCGGGCTCGTGTGGACTTGCTGCTGTCAGCAGCTGATGCCGTTGCACCCGGTTCACCACTGTTGCTGCAAGGTGTCTCCTGCACGGGCTCGGCTCTTCCAGCTCCGGGCGCCACAACACCAGAGTTGGCGCCGCCTCTGCACAGCTACGCGCGCATTGGTCCGTCCTTGCCCGCGCTCGCAGCAGCCTCGTTAGAATTGCCCCTGCTGCCGCAAGGTGCTGCTCGCTCGGGGTTCGCACTTTTCGTGTCAGACATGGCCCACTGTGATCTTCCGCTGCCACTACAAGGTGTTGCCTAGCCCGGAGTGTTTTTGCCAGCAGCCGATGCCGTCAGCATGGATCCGCCATTGTTGGTACAATGCACGGTGCGCTTGAGTTTCTCGATTTTCGCTCTTGGCACGTCGAGCCTAGGCTCTTTGCCTCCAGTCCTTGGAGTAGCAAGCTCGGGCTTGTCACCTTCTCCTCGGGGCGTGGCATGCGCTGATCTTGCTATGTCTGTCCCAAGTACGACCAGCCTTGAACTCTTACCGTTGCCTCGTGGCTTGGCCAGGCTGGACTCATTGCCTTCAGTGCCGGACATGGCAGAGTTTGGCTTGTCGCTCTTGCCGAAGGCTGTGGCAAGGTCGGGTTCAGCCTCGTTCGCGGCAGGGGTTGCAAATCCTGGGCCTTTGTTGCTTGTCCTCGGCGTTGCAACTTTGGGCCCCGCGCTGCCACTGCATGGTGTAAGTTGTGCTGGGATGGCATCATCGGTTTTTGACTGCGTCTCCCTTGGCTCATCACTGCTTCTGCAGGGGCGGGCTCACGTGGACTTTCTGTTGTCAGCAGCTGATGCCGTTGCACCCGGTTCACCACTGTTGCTGCAAGGTGTCTCCTGCACGGGCTCGGCTCTTCCAGCTCCGGGCGCCACAACACCAGAGTTGGCGCCGCCTTTGCACAGCTACGCGCGCATTGGTCCGTCCTTGCCAGCGCTCGCAGCAGCCTCGTTAGAATCGCCCCTGCTGCCGCAAGGTGCTGCTCGCTCGGGGTCCGCACTTTTCGTGTCAGACATGGCCCACTGTGATCTTCCGCTGCCACTGCAAGGTGTTGCCTAGCCCGGAGTGTCTTTGCCAGCAGCCGATGCCGTCAGCATGGATCCGCCATTGTTGGTACAATGCACGGTGCGCTTGGGTTTCTCGATTCTCGCTCTTGGCACGTCGAGCCTAGGCTCTTTGCCTCCAGTCCTTGGAGTAGCAAGTTCGGGCTCGTCACCTTCTCCTCGAGGCGTGGCTTGTGCTGATCTCGCTATGTCTGCGCCGAGCATGACCAGCCTAGAGTTCTTGCCGTTGCTTCGTGGCCTGGCGTGGTTGGACCCATTGCCTTCAGTGCCGGACATGGCACAGGTTGGCTTGTTTCCGTCGCTGAAGGCTGCAGCCTGACCTGGTTCTGTCTTGTCTGCAGTCGGGAGGACGATTTCAGGATTCTCTTTGTCTGCCGCTGGAGCTAGTGCCTCAGAGTCGCCGCCGCTGCTGCAAGGTGCCAGCTGAGTTGGCCTGTCATCATTGGTCGTCGGCTGCCTGTCCCTGGGCCCGTCACTGCTTCTGCGCGGAATGGCTTGCATCGAGTCGCTTCCGTTAGCAGCTGACACCGTTGCCCCTGGATCGTTGCCGTCGCTTCAGGGTGTTTCTTGGACTGGCCCGGCTCTTCTTGCCTTGAGCGTAGTGAGCTCAGGTCTGCCGCTGCTTCTTCGCAGCTATGCATGCATTGGCCTTCCTTCACTTGCACTCGCAACAGCATCATCGGAGTCGCTCCTGCCGCTGCAAGGGGCAGCTCGGTTGGGAGCAGCGTCACCTGTATCGGATGCGGCGCATTGCGAACCTCCGCTGCTCTCACGCGGTGCTGCTCGCCCGGGCGCTTTCTTGTCAGTGCCTGATTCCGCCACCGTCGGTCCGCTTCTGCTGGCACGGTCCATGGTGCGCTCAAGCTTCCTTCTTCCTGCTTGCGGTTCCGTGCGGCCAGACTCGGGGCCTCTAGTGCTCGGTGTGGCAAGCTCGGGTTTGTCACCGTCTCCTCGCGGCGTGACATGTATTGACCTCGCTATGTCTGTCCCGAGCACGACCAGCCTTGAATTCTTGCCGTTGCCTCGTGGCCTGGCCAGGCTGGACCCATTGCCTCCAGCGCCGGACTCTGCAAATTCAGGCTTTCCACTGCTGATCCGTGCAACGTCGAGACTGGAATTGGTTCTGTTTGCGGAAGGTCCGGCAAGCTGTGGACCTGTTGGCATAAGGTTAGCACTGCTTGTTGTTGGCGTTGTTGCGCCAGGCTTCTTCCTGCTACCACACGGCATGTCACAACTGGACTTAGCACTTTCGGTTTCAGGCGCGGCGACTTTAGGCTCCTCGCCCTCCTTGCGCAGCTGTGCTTGCCTCGGCATCCCCTTGCCAGCCTTAGCCACCGTGCACGCAGGACCGCCTCTGCTCCCACATAGCAGCTCTTATTCGGAAATTTCTTCGCCAGCACTGAAATCCGCCAGCTTGGGCCCATCGTTACTGGCACAAAGTCTGGTTCGCTTCAGCTTCTCATGTTTAGTCCTTGGCACCACCCGTCTAGGCTCATTGCTCTTGGCCCTTGGAGTGGCAAGCCTGGAGTTGCTCATGCCTCCTAGGGGTGTGGCCTGTACTGAACTTGTCCTGCCTGTACCATCCCTCAGCAGCCTTGCTTCGCTGCCGTTGCTTCATGGTTGGGCCAGGTTAGGCTTGCTACCTTCCATATTGAGCTGCGCGAACTCAGACTTGTTACTACTGCCCCATGCGATGTCGCGGTTGGGATCGTCCCCTTTCGCTGAAGGCTGCGCAAGCTTTCAGTTAGTTGGAATAAGGTCCGCGGTTTCTGTGCTTGGCTACCTTACCTCAGAATCATTCCTGCCTACTCAAGGTCCTGCTTGTACGGGCTTGCCATCACTTGCCTCCGCCGCAGCCACTCCAGAATCGATACTATCTCCACGCAGTTGCTGCTGCGCTGGCTTTTCCTTGCTGGCACTCGCAACAGCATCATCGGAGTCGCTCATGCCGCTGCAAGGGGCAGCTCGGTTGGGAGCAGCGTCACCTGTATCGGATGCGGCGCATTGCGAACCTCCGCTGCTCTCACGCGGTGCTGCTCGCCCGGGCGCTTTCTTGTCAGTGCCTGATTCCGCCACCGTCGGTCCGCTTCTGCTGGCACGGTCCATGGTGCGCTCAAGCTTCCTTCTTCCTGCTTGCGGTTCCGTGCGGCCAGACTCGGGGCCTCTAGTGCTCGGTGTGGCAAGCTCGGGTTTGTCACCGTCTCCTCGCGGCGTGACATGTATTGACCTCGCTATGTCTGTCCCGAGCACGACCAGCCTTGAATTCTTGCCGTTGCCTCGTGGCCTGGCCAGGCTGGACCCATTGCCTTCAGTGCCAGACATGGCACAGGTTGGCTTGTTTCTGTCGCTGAAGGCTGCAGCCTGACCTGGTTCTGTCTTGTCTGCAGTCGGGAGGACGATTTCAGGATTCTCTTTGTCTGCCGCTGGAGCTAGTTCCTCAGAGTCGCCGCCGCTGCTGCAAGGTGCCAGCTGAGTTGGCCTGTCATCATTGGTCGTCGGCTGCCTGTCCCTAGGCCCGTCACTACTTCTGCGTGGAATGGCTTGCATCGAGTCGCTTCCGTTAGCAGCTGACACCGTTGCCCCTGGATCGTTGCCGTCGCTTCAGGGTGTTTCTTGGACTGGCCCGGCTCTTCTTGCCTTGAGCGTAGTGAGCTCAGGTCTGCCGCTGCTTCTTCGCAGCTATGCATGCATTGGCCTTCCTTCACTTGCACTCGCAACAGCATCATCGGAGTCGCTCCTGCCGCTGCAAGGGGCAGCTCGGTTGGGAGCAGCGTTACCTGCGTCGGACGTGGCACAGTGTGGACTTCTGCTGCCTTTGCAAGGCGCTGCCTACCCTGAATTGCCGCTGCCAGTGCTGGAAGCCGGTAGCATGGGCCCACTTTTGTTCGTGCAGTGCACGGTGTGTGCAGGCTTGTCCATTTTGGTTCCTGGCAGTACTTGCTTGGGCTCCTTGCCTCTAGCGCTTGGGGCATCTAGCCTGGACTCTTCTCTCTCTCCTCGAGGTGTGTCCTGTGCCGATCTTGCTGCCCCCGTCCTTAGCATGACCAGCCTTGCACCGTTCTTGTCGCCCCATGGTCTGGCCAGACTGGGCTTGGTGCCTCCAGTTCCGGACCTGGTGCAGTCCGGGTTTCCTCTTTCTTCGCGTGCCATGGCCAAACCTGATCCATCTTCGTTTGCAGCAGGACGTGTGACTCCAGGACTGTTTCCGTTCGTGCCTGGGGCTGCTGATTCAGGGCTTCTGCTGTCGCCACGAGGTGCAAGCTGAGTTGGTCTGCTGCTGTCCGTGCTTGACTGTACATCCCTGGACTCTTCCTTGTCTCTCCGCGGAATGGCTTGCATTGAGTCACCGCCGTCAGCAGCTGACACCGTTGCCCCTGGTTCGTTGCTGTCGCTTCAGGGTGTTTCTTGAACTGGCCCAGCTCTGCTTGCTTTGGGCGTAGTTACCTCAGGTCTGCCGCTGCTTCTTCGCAGCTATGCATGCATTGGCTTTCCTTCACTTGCATTCGCAGCAGCATCATCGGAGTCGCTCCTGCCGCTGCAAGGGGCAGCTCGGTTGGGAGCAGCGTCACCTGCGTCGGACGCGGCACAGTGTGGACTTTTGCTGCCTTTGCAAGGCGCTGCCTACCCTGAATTGCCGCTGCCAGTGCTGGAAGCCGCTAGCATGGGCCCACTGTTGTTCGCGCAGTGCACGGTGTGTGCAGGCTTGTCCATTTTGGTTCCTGGCAGTACTTGCTTGGGCTCCTTGCCTCTAGCGCTTGGGGCATCTAGCCTGGACTCTTCTCTCTCTCCTCGAGGTGTGTCCTGTGCCGATCTTGCTGCCCCCGTCCTTAGCATGACCAGCCTTGCACCGTTCTTGTCGCCCCATGGTCTGGCCAGACTGGGCTTGGTGCCTCCAGTTCCGGACCTGGTGCAGTCCGGGTTTCCTCTTTCTTCGCATGCCATGGCCAAACCTGATCCATCTTCGTTTGCAGCAGGGCATGTAACTCCAGGGCTGTTTCCATCTGTGCCTGGAGCTGCAGATTCAGGGCTGCTGCTGTTGCCACGAGGTGCAAGCTGAGTTGGTCTGCTGCTGTCCGTGCTTGACTGTACATCCCTGGACTCTTCCTTGTCTCTCCGCGGATTGGCTTGCATTGAGTCGTTGCTGTCAGCGGTTGGCGTCGTAGCGCCAGATTCTCTGCTGCTTCTGCATGGCATTTCTTGAGTTGGCCCGGCTCTGCTCGCTTTGGGCGTGGTGAGCTCAGGTCTGCCACTTCTTCTTCGCAGTTATGCATGCATTGGCTTTCCTTCACTTGCACTCGCAGCAGCATCATCGGACTCGCTCCTGCCGCTGCAAGGGGCAGCTCGGTTGGGAGCAGCGTTACCTGCGTCGGACGTGGCACAGTGCGGACTTCTGCTGCCTTTGCAAGGCGCTGCCTACCCTGAATTGCCGCTGCTAGTGCTGGAAGCCGCTAGCATGGGCCCACTTTTGTTCGCGCAGTGCACGGTGTGTGCAGGCTTGTCCATTTTGGTTCCTGGCAGTACTTGCTTGGGCTCCTTGCCTCTAGCGCTTGGGGCATCTAGCCTGGACTCTTCTCTCTCTCCTCGAGGTGTGTCCTGTGCCGATCTTGCTGCCCCCGTCCTTAGCATGACCAGCCTTGCACCGTTCATGTCGCCCCATGGTCTGGCCAGACTGGGCTTGGTGCCTCCAGTTCCGGACCTGGTGCAGTCCGGGTTTCCTCTTTCTTCGCATACCATGGCCAAGCCTGATCCATCTTCGTTTGCAGCAGGGCATGTAACTCCAGGGATGTTTCCATCTGTGCCTGGAGCTGCAGATTCAGGGCTGCTGCTGTCGCCTCGAAGTGCAAGCTGAGTTGGTCTGCTGCTGTCCGTGCTTGACTGTACATCTCTGGACTCTTCCTTGTCTCTCCGCGGATTGGCTTGCATTGAGTCGTTGCTGTCAGCGGTTGGCGTCGTAGCGCCAGATTCTCTGCTGCTTCTGCATGGCATTTCTTGAGTTGGCCCGGCTCTGCTTGCTTTGGGCGTAGTGACCTCAGGTCTGTCACTGCTTCTTCGCAGTTATGCATGCATTGGCTTTCCTTCACTTGCACTCGCAACAGCATCATCGGACTCGCTCCTGCCGCTGCAAGGGGCAGCTCGGTTGGGAGCAGCGTTACCTGCGTCGGACGTGGCACAGTGTGGACTTCTGCTGCCTTTGCATGGTGCTGCCTACCCTGAATTGCCGCTGCTAGTGCTGGAAGCCGCTAGCATGGGCCCACTTTTGTTCGCGCAGTGCACGGTGTGTGCAGGCTTGTCCATTTTGGTTCCTGGCAGTACTTGCTTGGGCTCCTTGCCTCTAGCGCTTGGGGCATCTAGCCTGGACTCTTCTCTCTCTCCTCGAGGTGTGTCCTGTGCCGATCTTGCTGCCCCCGTCCTTAGCATGACCAGCCTTGCACCGTTCTTGTCGCCCCATGGTCTGGCCAGACTGGGCTTGGTGCCTCCAGTTCCGGACCTGGTGCAGTCCGGGTTTCCTCTTTCTTCGCATGCCATGGCCAAGCCTGATCCATCTTCGTTTGCAGCAGGGCATGTAACTCCAGGGCTGTTTCCATCTGTGCCTGGAGCTGCAGATTCAGGGCTGCTGCTGTCGCCACGAGGTGCAAGCTGAGTTGGTCTGCTGCTGTCCGTGCTTGACTGTACATCCCTGGACTCTTCCTTGTCTCTCCGCGGATTGGCTTGCATTGAGTCGTTGCTGTCAGCGGTTGGCGTCGTAGCGCCAGATTCTCTGCTGCTTCTGCATGGCATTTCTTGAGTTGGCCCGGCTCTGCTTGCTTTGGGGGTAGTGAGCTCAGGTCTGCCACTGCTTCTTCGCAGTTATGCATGCATTGGCTTTCCTTCACTTGCACTCGCAGCAGCATCGTCGGACTCGCTCCTGCCGCTGCAAGGGGCAGCTCGGTTGGGAGCAGCGTTGCCTGCATTGGACGCGGCGCAGTGTGGACTTTTGCTGCCTTTGCATGGTGCTGCCTACCCTGAATTTCCGCTGCTAGTGCTGGAAGCCGCTAGCATGGGCCCACTTTTGTTCGCGCAGTGCACGGTGTGTGCAGGCTTGTCCATTTTGGTTCCTGGCAGTACTTGCTTGGGCTCCTTGCCTCTAGCGCTTGGGGCATCTAGCCTGGACTCTTCTCTCTCTCCTCGAGGTGTGTCCTGTGCCGATCTTGCTGCCCCCGTCCTTAGCATGACCAGCCTTGCACCGTTCTTGTCGCCCCATGGTCTGGCCAGACTGGGCTTGGTGCCTCCAGTTCCGGACCTGGTGCAGTCCGGGTTTCCTCTTTCTTCGCATACCATGGCCAAGCCTGATCCATCTTCGTTTGCAGCAGGGCATGTAACTCCAGGGCTGTTTCCATCTGTGCCTGGAGCAGCAGATTCAGGGCTGCTGCTGTCGCCACGAGGTGCAAGCTGAGTTGGTCTGCTGCTGTCCGTGCTTGACTGTACATCCCTGGACTCTTCCTTGTCTCTCCGCGGAATGGCTTGCATTGAGTCGTTGCTGTCAGCGGTTGGCGTCGTAGCGCCAGATTCTCTGCTGCTTCTGCATGGCATTTCTTGAACTGGCCCGGCTCTGCTTGCTTTGGGCGTAGTGAGCTCAGGTCTGCCACTGCTTCTTCGCAGTTATGCATGCATTGGCTTTCCTTCACTTGCACTCGCAACGGCATCATCGGACTCGCTCCTGCCGCTGCAAGGGGCAGCTCGGTTGGGAGCAGCGTTGCCTGCATTGGACGCGGCGCAGTGTGGACTTTTGCTGCCTTTGCATGGTGCTGCCTACCCTGAATTGCCGCTGCTAGTGCTGGAAGCCGCTAGCATGGGCCCACTTTTGTTCGCGCAGTGCACGGTGTGTGCAGGCTTGTCCGTTTTGGTTCCTGGCAGTACTTGCTTGGGCTCCTTGCCTCTAGCGCTTGGGGCATCTAGCCTGGACTCTTCTCTCTCTCCTCGAGGTGTGTCCTGTGCCGATCTTGCTGCCCCCGTCCTTAGCATGACCAGCCTTGCACCGTTCTTGTCGCCCCATGGTCTGGCCAGACTGGGCTTGGTGCCTCCGGTTTCGGACCTGGTGCAGTCTGGGTTTCCTCTTTCTTCACATGCCATGGCCAAACCTGATCCATCTTCGTTTGCAGCAGGGAGTGTGACTCCAGGACTCTTTCTGTTCGTGCCTGGAGCTGCAGATTCAGGGCTGCTGCTATCGCCCCGAAGTGCAAGCTGAGTTGGTCTGCTGCTGCCCGTGCTTGACTGTACATCCCTGGACTCCTCGTTGTCTCTTCGCGGAATGGCTTGCATTGAGTCGTTGCTGTCAGCGGTCGGCGTCGTAGCGCCAGATTCTCCGCTGTTTCTGCATGGCATTTCTTGAACTGGCCCGGCTCTGCTTGCTTTGGGCGTGGTAAGCTCAGGTCTGTCACTGCTTCTTCGCAGTTATGCATGCATTGGCTTTCCTTCACTTGCACTCGCAACAGCATCATCGGACTCGCTCCTGCCGCTGCGAGGGGCAGCTCGGTTGGGAGCAGCATCACTTGCATCGGACGTGGCGCAATGCGGACTTCTGCTGCCTTTGCATGGCGCTGCCTACCCTGAATTGCCACTGCCAGTGCTGGAAGCCGCTAGCACGGGCCCACTTTTGCTCGCGCAGTGCACGGTGTGTGCGGGCTTTTCCATCTTCGTTCGTGGCATTACCTGCTTGGGCTCCTTGCCTCTAGCGCTTGGGGCATCTAGCCTAGACTCTTCTCTCTCTCCTCGAGGTGTGTCCTGTGCCGATCTTGCAGCCCCCGTCCTTAGCATGACCAGCCTTGCACCGTTCTTGTCGCCCCATGGTCTGGCCAGACTGGGCTTGGTGCCTCCAGTTCCGGACCTGGTGCAGTCCGGGTTTCCTCTTTCTTCGCATGCCGTGGCCAAGCCTGATCCATCTTCGTTTGCAGCAGGGCATGTAACTCCAGGGCTGTTTCCATCTGTGCCTGGAGCTGCAGATTCAGGGCTGCTGCTGTTGCCACGAGGTGCAAGCTGAGTTGGTCTGCTGCTGCCCGCGCTTGACTGTACATCCCCGGACTCCTCGTTGTCTCTTCGCGGAATGGCTTGCATTGAGTCGTTGCTGTCAGCGGTTGGCGTCGTAGCGCCGGATTCTCTGCTGCTTCTGCATGGCATTTCTTGAACTGGCCCGGCTCTGCTTGTGCTGGGCGTAGTGACCTCAGGTCTGCCACTGCTTCTTCGCAGTTATGCACGCATTGGCTTTCCTTCACTTGCACTCGCAACAGCATCATCGGAGCCACTTCTGCCGCTGCGAGGGGCAGCTCGGTTGGGGGCAGCATCACTTGCATCGGACGTGGCGCAATGCGGACTTCTGCTGCCTTTGCATGGCGCTGCCTACCCTGAATTGCCACTGCCAGTGCTGGAAGCCGCTAGCACGGGCCCACTTTTGCTCGCGCAGTGCACGGTGTGTGCGGGCTTTTCCATCTTCGTTCGTGGCATTACCTGCTTGGGCTCCTTGCCTCTAGCGCTTGGAGCATCTAGCCTAGACTCTTCTCTCTCTCCTCGAGGTGTGTCCTGTGCCGATCTTGCTGCCCCCGTCCTTAGCATGACCAGCCTTGCACCGTTCTTGTCGCCCCATGGTCTGGCCAGACTGGGCTTGGTGCTTCCGGTTCCGGACCTGGTGCAGTCCGGATTTTCACTTTCTTCGCACGCCATGGCCAAACCTGACCCATCTTCGTTTGCAGCAGGGTGTGTGAATCCAGGACTGTTACCGTTTGTGCCTGGAGCTGCAGATTCAGGGCTGCTGCTGTCACCCCGAAGTGCAAGCTGAGTTGGTCTGCTGCTGCCCGTGCTTGACTGTACATCCCTGGACTCTTCGTTGTCTCTGCGCGGAATGGCTTGCGTTGAGTCGTTGCTGTCAGCGGTCGGCATCGTAGCGCCAGATTCTCTACCGTTTCTGCATGGCATTTCTTGAGTTGGCCCGGCTCTGCTTGCTTTGGGCGCAGTGACCTCAGGTCTGCCGTTGCTCCTTCGCAGTTATGCATGCATTGGCTTTCCTTCACTTGCACTCGCAACAGCATCATCGGGACCACTCCTGCCGCTGCAAGGGGCAGCTCGGTTGGGAGCAGCATTACTTGCATCGGACGTTGCGCAATGCGGACTTCTGCTGCCTTTGCATGGCGCTGCCTACCCTGAATTGCCACTGCCAGTGCTGGAAGCCGCTAGCACGGGCCCACTTTTGCTCGCGCAGTGCACGGTGTGTGCGGGCTTTTCCATCTTCGTTCGTGGCATTACCTGCTTGGGCTCCTTGCCTCTAGCGCTTGGAGCATCTAGCCTAGACTCTTCTCTCTCTCCTCGAGGTGTGTCCTGTGCCGATCTTGCTGCCCCCGTCCTTAGCATGACCAGCCTTGCACCGTTCATGTCGCCCCATGGTCTGGCCAGACTGGGCTTGGTGCTTCCGGTTCCGGACCTGGTGCAGTCCGGATTTTCACTTTCTTCGCACGCCATGGCCAAACCTGACCCATCTTCGTTTGCAGCAGGGTGTGTGAATCCAGGACTGTTACCGTTTGTGCCTGGAGCTACAGATTCAGGGCTGCTGCTGTCACCCCGAAGTGCAAGCTGAGTTGGTCTGCTGCTGCCCGCGCTTGACTGTACATCCCCGGACTCCTCGTTGTCTCTTCGCGGAATGGCTTGCATTGAGTCGTTGCTGTCAGCGGTTGGCGTCGTAGCGCCAGATTCTCTGCTGCTTCTGCATGGCATTTCTTGAACTGGACCGGCTCTTCTGGTACAAGATGCTTCTAATCTAGAGTTGTCCCTCTTGCTGCGAAGTCCTGTGCGGATTGGCTCTTTGATTCCGGCTTTTGATGTGGTGAGTCCCGAGCCTCTTCTGCCGCTGCATGCAGCAGCTCAAGCCGACTCGTCTCCCTTCGCTGCAGCTAGTTGTTCGCCAGGAAGCTCTCTGCCGCTCCGCGGAGTGTCCCGCACGGATGCCGCTTTGCCTGTTTGCTCTGAGGTGAGTCTTGAGTTGCTGCCTTTGTTGCGAGGTGTGGCCCGTCTCAGCAGCTTTCCGCTGGTTCTCGGCACCTGCGTACCGGAATCAGCTTTGCCACCGCGTGGGACGAGCCACCTCGGTTCTCCGCCACTGGTGCCTGACGCCGCCAGCCTTGGTCCCCTTCTGCCGGCACAAAGCGCAATGCGTCTTGGACTTATTTTGTCGGTTCTTGGCTTCGTACAGATGGACTTGCCCTCAGCAGCCTCGGGGTCGGCAGATCTTGAGCCACCTCCGCCTCCAAAGGGAGTGGCGTGGCTCGGTGCTTTCTTGTTTGTGCCAGACCCTGTGTGCCCTGGTTTGTCCCCACCGCCACGCGGAGCTTCGCACCCTGCTTTTCCCATGCTTGTGCCAGGGCTAACCCAGTTGGGATCAGTTCTTCCTCTGCAAGGTGTGGCGCGCCTGGACCCCGCATCATCTGCATCAGCAGCTGCAGAGCCAGGCCCATTCTCATTCCTTCAAAGCTATTCTTGTTCAGGGTTTTCGCCACCGGCTCCGGATGCTGCTACTCTGGGTCCCGCGCCGTCCTGCAGAGGCTTCGCCTGTATTGGTGCCCTGCCGTCACCTTTGGGTTCAGCACGTGCTGGCCTCCTCTTACCTGCTCCTGATCGCACGCAGCTTGGCTTCTTTCTGCTCCTACACGGCATGGCATGGCCTGGCCTCCTGTTGCCCGCAATGGGCATGCTGAATTCGGGCCCGCCTCTGCCTGCTCGTGAAATTGCAAAGTCTGGCGCACGCGTTTGGCAGGTCACTGAGTTAGAGCTGTCGAGCGGCCTTAGTGTCCGCGGTATTACCAAGTGCGGTTCGGCGCCCTTTGTTTTTGCTGCGGTGCGGCCTGCATCTTCACTGTTCGTGCCTGATTCCGGGACATCAGATTCGCCGCTTCCGCTGCGGGGTGCTGCTCACTTTGGCCTTGGACTGCTTGTGTTTGACCTTGCGCACCTGGAACTGCCCCTGCTACTGCAGGGTGTTGCCAGACTGGGTTTCACGGTGCTTGCATTGAACCCTGCTAGTCCTGGACCCGTGCTGTCAATCCGTGGCATTGTACATGTGGGTCTGAAGCTGTCAGTTCTGGACACTGTTGATCCCGGCTCCTCGCCATTACCACGTGGTGCCAGCTGCACCGCATCAGCACCCTTTGTCCTCGGTGCTTGCAGCCTTGAACTGACACTTTTCTCGCACAGCGCAGCTAGATCAGATCTGCCGCCTTCCGCGCTCGACGTTGCGCAGCTGGACCTTCCGGTGCTGCTCAGGGGCTTGGCCCGCTTGGACCCAGCACCTTCCACACCTGACGTGACACGATGTGGTTTCACGCCGTCTCTGCGAAGCTGTGTTCGAGCAGGAAGTATGCTGCCAGTTCTTGGATTGGGTGCACTTGGCTCTTTGGTGTCAGCCACAGGGGACACGTTGCTTGGATCACCGCTCTCGGTGCAAAGCTTGGTCAGAATGGGGCTCGCCTCATTTGTGCTCGACCTTGCGAAGGTGGGCCCACCATCGCCGCTCCACAGCCTTGCCCAATCGGGTAGCAGCCTGTCAGTCTGTGGATGCGTGTGCCTTGCATCCACCCTTTCGGCTGAAGGATCTGCGCAATCGAGGCCCTTGCTGCCTGCCACCGATGCCTCAAACCCTGCCTCTTCCCTGTTTGTTAGATCCCTTGTCCAACCTGGCAGCCCATCGCTGGCGACTGGAGTTACAGATCCTGGCTTTTTCCCTTCACCACATGGAGTGTGTCGCTCAGAGTTACCGACAAGCATCCTTGGTTCAGCTCGCCTGGGCCCCTGCGCGCCTGTGATGGGCCCTTCCACTTTGGACAGCCTCCCGTTCTTGAGAGGAGCCTCACAACCTGACCTGGCCTTGCCAGCAGTAGATAGTTGTTCGCCAGGAAGCTCTCTGCCGCTCCGCGGAGTGTCCCGCACGGATGCCGCTTTGCCTGTTTGCTCTGAGGTGAGTCTTGAGTTGCTGCCTTTGTTGCGAGGTGTGGCCCGTCTCAGCAGCTTTCCGCTGGTTCTCGGCACCTGCGTACCGGAATCAGCTTTGCCACCGCGTGGGACGAGCCACCTCGGTTCTCCGCCACTGGTGCCTGACGCCGCCAGCCTTGGTCCCCTTCTGCCGGCACAAAGCGCAATGCGTCTTGGACTTATTTTGTCGGTTCTTGGCTTCGTACAGATGGACTTGCTTTCAGCAGCCTCGGGGTCGGCAGATCTTGAGCCACCTCCGCCTCCAAAGGGAGTGGCGTGGCTCGGTGCTTTCTTGTTTGTGCCAGACCCTGTGTGCCCTGGTTTGTCCCCACCGCCACGCGGAGCTTCGCACCCTGCTTTTCCCATGCTTGTGCTAGGGCTAACCCAGTTGGGATCAGTTCTTCCTCTGCAAGGTGTGGCGCGCCTGGACCCCGCATCATCTGCATCAGCAGCTGCAGAGCCAGGCCCATTCTCATTCCTTCAAAGCTATTCTTGTTCAGGGTTTTCGCCACCGGCTCCGGATGCTGCTACTCTGGGTCCCGCGCCGTCCTGCAGAGGCTTCGCCTGTATTGGTGCCCTGCCGTCACCTTTGGGTTCAGCACGTGCTGGCCTCCTCTTACCTGCTCCTGATCGCACGCAGCTTGGTTTCTTTCTGCTCCTACACGGCATGGCATGGCCTGGCCTCCTGTTGCCCGCAATGGGCATGCTGAATTCGGGCCTGCCTCTGCCTGCACATCAGATTGCCAAGTCTGGCGCAGGTGCGCAGATCAGCGAGCTGCAGCTGTCCAGTAGCTGCAGCACGCGGAGCTTTTGCCGGCTGGGCTCGTCACTCTCTGTTTTTGCAGCGGTGCGGCCTGCATCTTTACTGTTCGTGCCTGATTCCGGGACATCAGATTCGCCGCTTCCGCTGCGGGGTGCTGCTCACTTTGGCCTTGGACTGCTTGTGTTTGACCTTGCGCACCTGGAACTGCCCCTGCTACTGCAGGGTGTTGCCAGACTGGGTTTCACGGTGCTTGCATTGAACCCTGCTAGTCCTGGACCCGTGCTGTCAATCCGTGGCATTGTACATGTGGGTCTGAAGCTGTCAGTTCTGGACACTGTTGATCCCGGCTCCTCGCCATTACCACGTGGTGCCAGCTGCACCGCATCAGCACCCTTTGTCCTCGGTGCTTGCAGCCTTGAACTGACACTTTTCTCGCACAGCGCAGCTAGATCAGATCTGCCGCCTTCCGCGCTCGACGTTGCGCAGCTGGACCTTCCGGTGCTGCTCAGGGGCTTGGCCCGCTTGGACCCAGCACCTTCCACACCTGACGTGACACGATGTGGTTTCACGCCGTCTCTGCGAAGCTGTGTTCGAGCAGGAAGTATGCTGCCAGTTCTTGGATTGGGTGCACTTGGCTCTTTGGTGTCAGCCACAGGGGACACGTTGCTTGGATCACCGCTCTCGGTGCAAAGCTTGGTCAGAATGGGGCTCGCCTCATTTGTGCTCGACCTTGCGAAGGTGGGCCCACCATCGCCGCTCCACAGCCTTGCCCAATCGGGTAGCAGCCTGTCAGTCTGTGGATGCGTGTGCCTTGCATCCACCCTTTCGGCTGAAGGATCTGCGCAATCGAGGCCCTTGCTGCCTGCCACCGATGCCTCAAACCCTGCCTCTTCCCTGTTTGTTAGATCCCTTGTCCAACCTGGCAGCCCATCGCTGGCGACTGGAGTTACAGATCCTGGCTTTTTCCCTTCACCACATGGAGTGTGTCGCTCAGAGTTACCGACAAGCATCCTTGGTTCAGCTCGCCTGGGCCCCTGCGCGCCTGTGATGGGCCCTTCCACTTTGGACAGCCTCCCGTTCTTGAGAGGAGCCTCACAACCTGACCTGGCCTTGCCAGCAGTAGATAGTTGTTCGCCAGGAAGCTCTCTGCCGCTCCGCGGAGTGTCCCGCACGGATGCCGCTTTGCCTGTTTGCTCTGAGGTGAGTCTTGAGTTGCTGCCTTTGTTGCGAGGTGTGGCCCGTCTCAGCAGCTTTCCGCTGGTTCTCGGCACCTGCGTACCGGAATCAGCTTTGCCACCGCGTGGGACGAGCCACCTCGGTTCTCCGCCACTGGTGCCTGACGCCGCCAGCCTTGGTCCCCTTCTGCCGGCACAAAGCGCAATGCGTCTTGGACTTATTTTGTCGGTTCTTGGCTTCGTACAGATGGACTTGCTTTCAGCAGCCTCGGGGTCGGCAGATCTTGAGCCACCTCCGCCTCCAAAGGGAGTGGCGTGGCTCGGTGCTTTCTTGTTTGTGCCAGACCCTGTGTGCCCTGGTTTGTCCCCACCGCCACGCGGAGCTTCGCACCCTGCTTTTCCCATGCTTGTGCTAGGGCTAACCCAGTTGGGATCAGTTCTTCCTCTGCAAGGTGTGGCGCGCCTGGACCCCGCATCATCTGCATCAGCAGCTGCAGAGCCAGGCCCATTCTCATTCCTTCAAAGCTATTCTTGTTCAGGGTTTTCGCCACCGGCTCCGGATGCTGCTACTCTGGGTCCCGCGCCGTCCTGCAGAGGCTTCGCCTGTATTGGTGCCCTGCCGTCACCTTTGGGTTCAGCACGTGCTGGCCTCCTCTTACCTGCTCCTGATCGCACGCAGCTTGGTTTCTTTCTGCTCCTACACGGCATGGCATGGCCTGGCCTCCTGTTGCCCGCAATGGGCATGCTGAATTCGGGCCTGCCTCTGCCTGCACATCAGATTGCCAAGTCTGGCGCAGGTGCGCAGATCAGCGAGCTGCAGCTGTCCAGTAGCTGCAGCACACGGAGCTTTTGCCGGCTGGGCTCGTCACTCTCTGTTTTTGCAGCGGTGCGGCCTGCATCTTTACTGTTCGTGCCTGATTCCGGGACATCAGATTCGCCGCTTCCGCTGCGGGGTGCTGCTCACTTTGGCCTTGGACTGCTTGTGTTTGACCTTGCGCACCTGGAACTGCCCCTGCTACTGCAGGGTGTTGCCAGACTGGGTTTCACAGTGCTTGCATTGAACCCTGCTAGTCCTGGACCCGTGCTGTCAATCCGTGGCATTGTACATGTGGGTCTGAAGCTGTCAGTTCTGGACACTGTTGATCCCGGCTCCTCTCCATTACCACGTGGTGCCAGCTGCACCGCATCAGCACCCTTTGTCCTCGGTGCTTGCAGCCTTGAACTGACACTTTTCTCGCACAGCGCAGCTAGATCAGATCTGCCGCCTTCCGCGCTCGACGTTGCGCAGCTGGACCTTCCGGTGCTGCTCAGGGGCTTGGCCCGCTTGGACCCAGCACCTTCCACACCTGACGTGACACGATGTGGTTTCACGCCGTCTCTGCGAAGCTGTGTTCGAGCAGGAAGTATGCTGCCAGTTCTTGGATTGGGTGCACTTGGCTCTTTGGTGTCAGCCACAGGGGACACGTTGCTTGGATCACCGCTCTCGGTGCAAAGCTTGGTCAGAATGGGGCTCGCCTCATTTGTGCTCGACCTTGCGAAGGTGGGCCCACCATCGCCGCTCCACAGCCTTGCCCAATCGGGTAGCAGCCTGTCAGTCTGTGGATGCGTGTGCCTGGAGACGATCCTGCCTGCCCTGGATGCCACCCACCTTGGCTTATCACTGCTGGCAAGGAATCTGGTGCACCTCGAGCTGTTCTTGCTACCCGCAGGCGGGCGCTGTAGGGTCAGCTGGCATGCATTTGAGGGAACTTCAAAACCAGGATGCACATCATGCGATATCATGTGTAGTGACCACCATTGCTTGTAGCGAATCTACTTGAAAAGTACAAGATGGGTTGCACTCAATACATGTTAGCGTTTGCTGCTTGACGCTTGAAGCCTCAGAAGCCTCGGACTCTTCTCCTAAAGAACAAAGCAACTCTAAACCCGAGCCACGAGCTTTGCAGGCTGAATCTTCGTAGTAAGGGTGGGCGCATCATACAGCATCAAGTCACTTTCATTGCATCTCCGCATGACAGTGACGTGAGTAAGGGCTCGAGAAAATAAGAAGTGGGCTGGCGATGTTGTATTTCCATGCGTGTGTTTCTCGTAGATGCTGGATGTGTGAAGCATAACGAGCCATTCTCGAAGCAGCAAGAGCAGACCACAGATCTGTTACAGAACTAATCATTGAATCTAACAGAAGTTTTTTGCTTGGCTTGTGTTTGTGGAGGCCTGTCTACAGCGGAATGGTTGTCGCCAGCAGCCGACGCATCACGCTTGGACTCTCCTCCACCAACCAGAAACCCGGCCTGCCCTGATGATGCTCCATCTGCGCCATCGTCAGCACATATCGACTTCTTTCTGCCATTGCACGGCTTTGCTCGAGCAGAATCGGTGCCATCTATTTTTGGCAGCGCTCGACTAAGCTCCAGCCTTGTTGTTCAGGCTTCAACCCAGCCGGAGTTCTCTCCATTGGCATCGGGCGCGGCAGCTTCAGACCCCTCCCTGCTTTTGCGCGGCTGCACCCAACTGGGATCCGCGCTCCTCGCGCCAGGCTGCTCTAGCCCGGGTAGCTCTTTGTTGCTTCAAGGCGCTGCAAGGCTCGGCCTGGCCCTCTTGGCTTTGGGTTTGGTCGAGCTCGGCTTTCTTCTGTCTGTTCGGTCTTTTGCCCGCGCAGGTTCGAGTCTGAGTGCCAGGATGTTTCAGCTGGGCAACGTGCCGTTTATGTGTCACGCCATGAATCTGGACTTGTTCCTGCCGCTGCAGGGAATGGCTTGATCGGACTCTGGGCTGCCAGCATGCGATTCCACAGCACCGGGCTTTTTGTCATCGCTGCGCTCCTCCGCAAAGTTGGGACTGGACTTGTCGACTTTGGGTACCTGCCGCTCAGACTCAAGCGCTCCGATGTCAGGTGTTTGTGAGCTTGACTCACCACCGTTGCTGCGCGGCTCATCTCATGCAGGCCCTGCGCTCTTTGCCTTGAGCTCTGTCGTCCCTGGCTCGTTCCTTTCGCTTCACAGCACGGCCAGGCTTGGAATCGAATCGCCCGCTCTGGGACTGGCGAACTCGGAGTCAGCCTTCCCTGTACGAGCACGTGCATGCCCAGGCTTTGTTATGCCTTCATTTGGCGTTGCTCAACCTGAGCTCTGTTCTTCTGCCTTTGACGTTTCCAATCTCGAGTTTCCGATGCCGCTCAGAAGTGCTGCCTGGCCAGAGCCACCACTCCCTGTCAGTCAGCTACTGCACGCCAGCGGAATGCTTCGTGCTGATGCAATGTCATTTGTTCTGGACAGTGCTAACTCAGAGTCTCCTCCGTTGCCACGCGGCTGTTCCAAGCTGGGATCCGCACTCCTCGCGCCAGACTGCTCTAGCCCGGGTAGCTTTTTGTTGCTTCAAGGCGCTGCAAGGCTCGGCCTGGCCCTCTTGGCTTTGGGTTTGGTCGAGCTCGGCTTTTTCCTGCCAGTTCGGTCTTTTGTCCGCGCAGGTTCGAGTCTGAGTGCCAGCATGTTTCAGCTGGGCAACGTGCCGTTTATGTGTCATGCCACGAACCTAGACCTGTTTTTGTCACCTCGTGGCGTTGCCTGATTGGCCTCTTTGCCACCAGTCTGTGACTTCACAACACTCGGACTGTTGTCACCTTTGCAGTCACTACTGCATCCAGGGTCCCCAGTCTCTCCTTTTGGAGGTTGCAAAATAGAATCCGTGTCGTCCGCGTTGGGTGGCGTGAAGCTCGAGTTTCTTTTGTCTTTGCATGGCTATTCATGCGCTGGATGGGTGTTGTCTCTTTTCAGCGATGCAGCACTGGGCTTGCCAATGTTCACTCGCAGTTTGGCACAGCCAGGCTTTCTGATGTTTGCATTTGAAGCGGCTGAGCCCGGAAGTTCTTTGCCTTTGCACTGCCCCATTTGCACGGCTTTCTTGATGTCTGCCCTCGGCTGCGCCCGGCCAGGGTCTGTCCTACTTGTCCCAGACACTTCAACTTTGGACAGCCTCTTGTTGTTGAGAAGTGCTGCCCGGCCAGAACCGCTACTTTTCCTCTATGGAGAGCTTCGTGTTGGTACATCGTTGTCTGTCCCGAACTGTGTTAACTTGGGACCCTCACCACCTCTGCATGGCTGCACCCAACTGGGATCCGCGCTCCTCGCGCTAGGCTGCTCTAGCCCGGGTAGCCTTTTGTTGCTTCAAGGCGCTGCAAGGCTCGGCCCGGCCCTCTTGGCTTTGGGTTTGGTCGAGCTCGGCTTTTTCCTGCCCGTTCGGTCTTTTGCCCGCGCAGGTTCGAGTCTGAGTGCCAGGATGTTTCAGCTGGGCAACGTGCCGTTTATGTGTCACGCCATGAATCTGGACTTGTTCCTGCCGCTGCAGGGAATGGCTTGATCGGACTCTGGGCTGCCAGCATGCGATTCCACAGCACCGGGCTTTTTGTCATCGCTGCGCTCCTCCGCAAAGTTGGGACTGGACTTGTCGACATTGGGTGCCTGCCGCTCAGACCCTAGCCTCTTGGTCCTGGGAGACTGCAGTCCAGGTTTGCCGTTGTCGCCAAGAGGTGTAACCAGACCTGGCCTCTGCCTGCCAGTACCCAGTTGTGCAGCACTGGGCCCTTCCATTTCGCCGCAAGGAGCAGCGTGCCTTGGTTCAGACTTGTTGGCACCTTCCTCGACTCACCTAGACTTACTTTTGCTTCTGCATGGCATTGCCCACCTGAGCTCATCGCTCCCTTTGCTCGGATGCGCATGTGCAGGTCTGCCGCTACTTGCGTCAGACATGTCTAATCTGGGGTGTTTCCTTTCCGTGCGGAGCCTCAGCCACACTGACTCAGCTCTGCTGGCACGCGAGCTGACACAGCCAGAGTTCTCATCGTTGGCCTCGGGCGCGGCAGCTTCAGACCCCTCCCTGCTTTTGCGCGGCTGCACCCAACTGGGATCCGCGCTCCTCGCGCTAGGCTGCTCTAGCCCGGGTAGCCTTTTGTTGCTTCAAGGCGCTGCAAGGCTCGGCCCGGCCCTCTTGGCTTTGGGTTTGGTCGAGCTCGGCTTTTTCCTGCCCGTTCGGTCTTTTGCCCGCGCAGGTTCGAGTCTGAGTGCCAGGATGTTTCAGCTGGGCAACGTGCCGTTTATGTGTCACGCCATGAATCTGGACTTGTTCCTGCCGCTGCAGGGAATGGCTTGATCGGACTCTGGGCTGCCAGCATGCGATTCCACAGCACCGGGCTTTTTGTCATCGCTGCGCTCCTCCGCAAAGTTGGGACTGGACTTGTCGACATTGGGTGCCTGCCGCTCAGACCCTAGCCTCTTGGTCCTGGGAGACTGCAGTCCAGGTTTGCCGTTGTCGCCAAGAGGTGTAACCAGACCTGGCCTCTGCCTGCCAGTACCCAGTTGTGCAGCACTGGGCCCTTCCATTTCGCCGCAAGGAGCAGCGTGCCTTGGTTCAGACTTGTTGGCACCTTCCTCGACTCACCTAGACTTACTTTTGCTTCTGCATGGCATTGCCCACCTGAGCTCATCGCTCCCTTTGCTCGGATGCGCATGTGCAGGTCTGCCGCTACTTGCGTCAGACATGTCTAATCTGGGGTGTTTCCTTTCCGTGCGGAGCCTCAGCCACACTGACTCAGCTCTGCTGGCACGCGAGCTGACACAGCCAGAGTTCTCATCGTTGGCCTCGGGCGCGGCAGCTTCAGACCCCTCCCTGCTTTTGCGCGGCTGCACCCAGCTGGGATTGAGCCCGTCAGCTTTGAGCATGGCGCACCTTGAGAGCGCATCGCTGCTGCAAGGCATTGCCCAGCCTGGTCCAAGCACGCTGGCTTTGGGCTCGGTCGATCCTGCACCTTTGCTGTTTGTACAATCACTTGTTTGACCAGGGCCTTTGCTGAGCGTGGGTATGCTGGAGCTAGGCTGCGCATTGTTGCTGTGTTCCGCACTGGCTCCCGGGTCATTCCTGTTGTTGCGTGGTGCTGCCTGCTTGAGTTTAGTGTTGCCAGTGTGCGGCACTACAACGCTGGGTTCTCCGCTGCTCCTGCGTTCGCCTGCACACTTGAGCTCAAGTCTACCCATTCTTGGAAGCAGCCGGACAGGAGCAAGCACCTTGGTACTTGGAGTCTGTGATCTTGATCTTTTGTTGCCACTGCAGGGTCGTTCTCAAGCCGGCCTAGTAACGCTCGTGCTTAGCTGCGCTGTGCCAGAGTCCTTACTGTCCTCGCAAAGTGTTTCCTGGCCGGGGTCCCTACCGCCCGTTCCTGCAGTGGCCAGCTCCGGCTTGTTTTTGCTGTTGCATGGTCGCAGCCATCCTGGACTGCTGCTGCTCTTGCCAGGGTGCGCGCAGCTTGGTTTGTCTCCGCCTGTCCTGGGCTTGTCTCACTTGGGAAGCTTGTCGTTGTTGAAGAATCCCATCCAAGCAGGCCTCCTCCCTTCAATCTTGGGCATGGCTCAGCTGGACGTTCTGCTGTTTGTTCCGGGCACGGCAAGCTTGGAAGTTTCTTCGTTGCCTCGGGGTGCATCTTGCTCAGAATTGGCGTTGCTCGCTCTTGACTGTAGCCAGCCAGGAAGCTCACTACTGCCGCAGGGAGCAGCATAGCTGGACCTCGCTTTGTTAGCACTGGGTGCTGCTGAGTCAGAACCTCTTTCGCCTGCACGATCTCTCGTCCGTGTTGGTTTGACATCGAGCGTGAGGATGTTCGAGCTAGGCTGCGTGCTGTCGCTGTGCTCGGCCACCAATCTGGGCTCGACACCGTCGCCGCACGGAGCTGCATGTTTAGGCTTCCTTCCGCTTGCGTGCAGCTCCGCAACGTCAGGCTTGCTTCCACCCTTGCAGTCGCTCGCACGTCCAAGCTCCAGCCCATTTGTTGTGGGCAGCTGCCGGTTGGGGCCAAGCACGTTGGCTTTGGGAGTGTGCGATCTAGGCCTTCCGCTGTTGTTGCACGGGGTGGCTCACGTCGGTCTGGTGCCGCTCGTGCTTAGCTGCGTTGCACCAGAGTCCTCACTGTCCTTGCAAAGTGTTGCCTGGCCGGGGTCCCTACCGCCCGTTCCTGCAGTGGCCAGCTCCGGCTTGTTTTTGCTGTTGCATGGTCGCAGCCATCCTGGACTGTTGCTGCTCTTGCCAGGGTGCGCGCAGCTTGGTTTGTCTCCGCCTGTCTTGGGCCTGTCTCACTTGGGAAGCTTCTTGTTGTTGAAGAATTCCATCCAAGCAGGCCTCTTCCCTTCAGTCTTGGGTGTGGCTCAGCTGGGTTTTCTGCCGCCGGCTCCAGGTTTTGCGGGCTCAGAAGTTTCCATGTTGCTTCGTGGCGCATCGTGCCCTGGGTCAGTGCTTCCTGTGCCTGGTTGCAGCTATTTGGACAGCTCACCGCTGGCGCGAGGCGCCACACGGCTTGGCTCTGCTCTACCAGCGCTGGGTGCTGCTGAGTCAGAGTCCTCTTTGCTTGTGCAATCACTCGTCCATGCTGGCTTGACATCGAGTGTGAGGATGTTCGAGCTGGGCTGCGTGCTGTCGCTGTGCTCGGCCACCAATTCGGGCTTGACACCGTCCCCGCACGGAGCTGCATGTTTAGGCTTCCTTCCGCTTGTCTGCAGCGCTACAACATCAGGCTTGTTTCCACCCTTGCAGTCGCTCGCACGTCCAAGCTCCAGCCCATTTGTTGTGGGCAGCTGCCGGTTGGGGCCAAGCACGTTGGCTTTGGGAGTGTGCGATCTAGGCCTTCCGCTGTTGTTGCACGGGGTGGCTCACGTCGGTCTGGTGCCGCTCGTGCTTAGCTGCGTTGCACCAGAGTCCTTACTGTCCTTGAAAAGTGTTGCCTGGCCGGGGTCCCTACCGCCCGTTCCTGCAGTGGCCAGCTCCGGCTTGTTTTTGCTGTTGCATGGTCGCAGCCATCCTGGACTGCTGCTGCTCTTGCCAGGGTGCGCGCAGCTTGGTTTGTCTCCGCCTGTCCTGGGCTTGTCTCACTTGGGAAGCTTGTCGTTGTTGAAGAATCCCATCCAAGCAGGCCTCCTCCCTTCAATCTTGGGCATGGCTCAGCTGGACGTTCTGCTGTTTGTTCCGGGCACGGCAAGCTTGGAAGTTTCTTCGTTGCCCCGGGGTGCATCTTGCTCAGAATTGGCGTTGCTCGCTCTTGACTGTAGCCAGCCAGGAAGCTCACTACTGCCGCAGGGAGCAGCATAGCCGGACCTCGCTTTGTTAGCACTGGGTGCTGCTGAGTCAGAACCTCTTTCGCCTGCACGATCTCTCGTCCGTGTTGGTTTGACATCGAGCGTGAGGATGTTCGAGCTAGGCTGCGTGCTGTCGCTGTGCTCGGCCACCAATCTGGGCTCGACACCGTCGCCGCACGGAGCTGCATGTTTAGGCTTCCTTCCGCTTGCGTGCAGCTCCGCAACGTCAGGCTTGCTTCCACCCTTGCAGTCGCTCGCACGTCCGAGCTCCAGCCCATCTGTTGTGGGCAGCTGCCGGTTGGGGCCAAGCACGTTGGCTTTGGGAGTGTGCGACCTAGGCCTTCCGCTGTTGTTGCACGGGGTGGCTCACGTCGGTCTGGTGCCGCTCGTGCTTAGCTGCGTTGCACCAGAGTCCTTACTGTCCTTGAAAAGTGTTGCCTGGCCGGGGTCCCTACCGCCCGTTCCTGCAGTGGCCAGCTCCGGCTTGTTTTTGCTGCTGCATGGTCGCAGCCATCCTGGACTGCTGCTGCTCTTGCCAGGGTGCGCGCAGCTTGGTTTGTCTCCGCCTGTCTTGGGCCTGTCTCACTTGGGAAGCTTCTTGTTGTTGAAGAATTCCATCCAAGCAGGCCTCTTCCCTTCAGTCTTGGGTGTGGCTCAGCTGGGTTTTCTGCCGCCGGCTCCAGGTTTTGCGGGCTCAGAAGTTTCCATGTTGCTTCGTGGCGCATCGTGCCCTGGGTCAGTGCTTCCTGTGCCTGGTTGCAGCTATTTGGACAGCTCACCGCTGGCGCAAGGCGCCACACGGCTTGGCTCTGCTCTACCAGCGCTGGGTGCTGCTGAGTCAGAGTCCTCTTTGCCTGTGCAATCACTCGTCCATGCTGGCTTGACATCGAGTGTGAGGATGTTCGAGCTGGGCTGCGTGCTGTCGCTGTGCTCGGCCACCAATTCGGGCTTGACACCGTCCCCGCACGGAGCTGCATGTTTAGGCTTCCTTCCGCTTGTCTGCAGCGCTACAACATCAGGCTTGTTTCCACCCTTGCAGTCGCCTGCACGTCCAAGCTCCAGCCCATCTGTTATGGGCAGCTGCCGGTTGGGGCCAAGCACGTTGGCTTTGGGAGTGTGCGATCTAGGCCTTCCGCTGTTATTGCACGGTGTGGCTCACGTCGGTCTGGTGCCGCTCGTGCTTAGCTGCGTTGCACCAGAGTCCTTACTGTCCTTGCAAAGTGTTTCCTGGCCAGGGTCTCCACTGCCAGTTCCTGCAGTGGCCAGCTCCGGCTTGTTTATGTTGCTGCACAGCCGCAGCCATCCTGGACTGCTGCTGCTCTTGCCAGGGTGCGCGCAGCTTGGTTTGTCTCCACCTGTCTTGGGCCTGTCTCACTTGGAAAGTTTGTCGTTGTTGAGGAATCCCATCCAAGCAGGCCTCCTCCCTTCAATCTCGGGTGTGGCTCAACTGGGTTTTCTGCCGCCGGCTCCAGGCTCCGCGAGCTCAGAAGTTTCCATGTTGCTTCGTGGCGCATCGTGCCCTGGGTCAGTGCTTCCTGTGCCTGATAGCAGCCAGTTGGACAGCTCACTGCTGGTGCGAGGCCCTGCACGGCTTGGCTCTGCTCTACCAGCGCTGGGTGCTGCTGAGTCAGAGTCCTCTTTGCCTGTGCAATCACTCGTCCATGCTGGTTTGACATCGAGTGTGAGGATGTTCGAGCTAGGCTGCGTGCTGTCGCTGTGCTCGGCCACCAATTCGGGCTTGACACCGTCCCCGCACGGAGCTGCATGTTTAGGCTTCCTTCCGCTTGTCTGCAGCGCTACAGCATCAGGCTTGTTTCCACCCTTGCAGTCGCTCGCACGTCCGAGCTCCAGCCCATCTGTTGTGGGCAGCTGCCGGTTGGGGCCAAGCACGTTGGCTTTGGGAGTGTGCGACCTAGGCCTTCCGCTGTTGTTGCACGGGGTGGCTCACGTCGGTCTGGTGCCGCTCGTGCTTAGCTGCGTTGCACCAGAGTCCTTACTGTCCTTGAAAAGTGTTGCCTGGCCGGGGTCCCTACCGCCCGTTCCTGCAGTGGCCAGCTCCGGCTTGTTTTTGCTGCTGCATGGTCGCAGCCATCCTGGACTGCTGCTGCTCTTGCCAGGATGTGCGCAGATTGGGATGTCTCCACCTGTCCTGGGCCTGTCTCACTTGGGAAGCTTATTGTTGTTGAAGAATCCCATCCAAGCAGGCCTCTTCCCTTCAGTCTTGGGTGTGGCTCAGCTGGGTTTTCTGCCGCCGGCTCCAGGTTTTGCGGGCTCAGAAGTTTCCATGTTGCTTCGTGGCGCATCGTGCCCTGGGTCAGTGCTTCCTGTGCCTGATAGCAGCCAGTTGGACAGCTCACTGCTGGTGCGAGGCCCTGCACGGCTTGGCTCTGCTCTACCAGCGCTGGGTGCTGCTGAGTCAGAGCTGCCTTTGCTTGTGCAATCAATATGCCGTGTTGGTTTGACATCGAGTGCGAGGACTTTCGAGATGGGCGGCGGAACGGGCAGCGCGCTGTCGCTGTGCTCAGCCACCACTCTGGGCTTGTTGTTGCCAGCACGTGGAGCTGCACGATTGGGCCTCCCGCCGCTTGCATGCAGCGCTGCAACATCAGGCTTGCTTCCACCCTTGCAGTCGCCTGCACGTCCAAGCTCCAGCCCATCTGCTATGGGCAGCTGCCGGTCGGGACCAAGCATGTTAGCTTTGGGAGTGTGCGATCCAGGCCTTCCACTATTGTTGCACGGTGTGGCTCATGTCGGCCTTGCACCGCTCGTGCTTAGCTGCGCTGTATCAGAGTCCTTACTTTTTCTGCAAAGTGTTGCCTGGCCGGGGTCCCTACCGCCCGTTCCTGCAGTGGCCAGCTCCGGCTTGTTTTTGCTGCTGCATGGTCGCAGCCATCCTGGACTGCTGCTGCTCTTGCCAGGATGTGCGCAGATTGGGATGTCTCCACCTGTCCTGGGCCTGTCTCACTTGGGAAGCTTATTGTTGTTGAAGAATCCCATCCAAGCAGGCCTCTTCCCTTCAGTCTTGGGTGTGGCTCAGCTGGGTTTTCTGCCGCCGGCTCCAGGTTTTGCGGGCTCAGAAGTTTCCATGTTGCTTCGTGGCGCATCGTGCCCTGGGTCAGTGCTTCCTGTGCCTGATAGCAGCCAGTTGGACAGCTCACTGCTGGTGCGAGGCCCTGCACGGCTTGGCTCTGCTCTACCAGCGCTGGGTGCTGCTGAGTCGGAGCTGCCTTTGCTTGTGCAATCAATATGCCGTGTTGGTTTGACATCGAGTGCGAGGACTTTCGAGATGGGCGGCGGAACGGGCAGCGCGCTGTCGCTGTGCTCAGCCACCACTCTGGGCTTGTTGTTGCCAGCACGTGGAGCTGCACGATTGGGCCTCCCTCCGCTTGCATGCAGCGCTGCAACATCAGGCTTGCTTCCACCCTTGCAGTCGCCTGCACGTCCAAGCTCCAGCCCATCTGCTATGGGCAGCTGCCGGTCGGGACCAAGCATGTTAGCTTTGGGAGTGTGCGATCCAGGCCTTCCACTATTGTTGCACGGTGTGGCTCATGTCGGCCTTGCACCGCTCGTGCTTAGCTGCGCTGTATCAGAGTCCTTACTTTTTCTGCAAAGTGTTGCCTGGCCGGGGTCCCTACCGCCCGTTCCTGCAGTGGCCAGCTCCGGCTTGTTTTTGCTGCTGCATGGTCGCAGCCATCCTGGACTGCTGCTGCTCTTGCCAGGATGTGCGCAGATTGGGATGTCTCCACCTGTCCTGGGCCTGTCTCACTTGGGAAGCTTATTGTTGTTGAAGAATCCCATCCAAGCAGGCCTCTTCCCTTCAGTCTTGGGTGTGGCTCAGCTGGGTTTTCTGCCGCCGGCTCCAGGTTTTGCGGGCTCAGAAGTTTCCATGTTGCTTCGTGGCGCATCGTGCCCTGGGTCAGTGCTTCCTGTGCCTGATAGCAGCCAGTTGGACAGCTCACTGCTGGTGCGAGGCCCTGCACGGCTTGGCTCTGCTCTACCAGCGCTGGGTGCTGCTGAGTCGGAGCTGCCTTTGCTTGTGCAATCAATATGCCGTGTTGGTTTGACATCGAGTGCGAGGACTTTCGAGATGGGCGGCGGAACGGGCAGCGCGCTGTCGCTGTGCTCAGCCACCACTCTGGGCTTGTTGTTGCCAGCACGTGGAGCTGCACGATTGGGCCTCCCTCCGCTTGCATGCAGCGCTGCAACATCAGGCTTGCTTCCACCCTTGCAGTCGCCTGCACGTCCAAGCTCCAGCCCATCTGCTATGGGCAGCTGCCGGTCGGGACCAAGCATGTTAGCTTTGGGAGTGTGCGATCCAGGCCTTCCACTTTTGTTGCACGGTGTGGCTCATGTCGGCCTGGCACCGCTCGTGCTTAGCTGCGCTGTATCAGAGTCCTTACTTTTTCTGCAAAGTGTTGCCTGGCCGGGGTCTCCACTGCCAGTTCTTGCAGTGGCCAGCTCGGGCTTGTTTTTGCTGCTGCATGGTCGTAGCCATCCTGGACTGTTGCTGCTCTTGCCAGGGTGCTCGCAGCTTGGGATGTCTCCACTTGTCTTGGGCCTGTCTCACTTGGGAAGCTTGTCGTTGTTGAAGAATCCCATCCAAGCAGGCCTCTTCCCTTCAATCTTGGGTGTGGCTCAGCTGGGTTTTCTGCCGCCGGCTCCAGGTTTTGCGGGCTCAGAAGTTTCCATGTTGCTTCGTAGCGCATCGTGCCCTGGGTCAGTGCTTCCTGTGCCTGGTTGCAGCTATTTGGACAGCTCACCGCTGGTGCGAGGCGCCGCACGGCTTGGCTCTGCTCTACCAGCGCTGGGTGCTGCTGAGTCAGAGTCCTCTTTGCCTGTGCAATCACTCGTCCATGCTGGTTTGACATCGAGTGTGAGGATGTTCGAGCTGGGCTGCGTGCTGTCACTGTGCTCGGCCACCAATTCGGGCTTGACACCGTCCCCGCACGGAGCTGCATGTTTAGGCTTCCTTCCGCTTGTCTGCAGCGCTACAACATCAGGCTTGTTTCCACCCTTGCAGTCGCCTGCACGTCCAAGCTCCAGCCCATCTGCTATGGGCAGCTGCCGGTCGGGGCCAAGCATGTTAGCTTTGGGAGTGTGCGATCCAGGCCTTCCACTATTGTTGCACGGGGTGGCTCACGTCGGTCTGGTGCCGCTCGTGCTTAGCTGCGCTGTATCAGAGTCCTTACTTTTTCTGCAAAGTGTTGCCTGGCCGGGGTCCCTACCGCCCGTTCCTGCAGTGGCCAGCTCCGGCTTGTTTATGTTGCTGCACAGCCGCAGCCATCCTGGACTGTTGCTGCTCTTGCCAGGGTGCGCGCAGCTTGGTTTGTCTCCACCTGTCCTGGGCTTGTCTCACTTGGGAAGCTTGTCGCTGTTGAAGAATTCCATCCAAGCAGGCCTCTTCCCTTCAATCTCGGGTGTGGCTCAGCTGGGCGTTCTGCTGTCTGTTCCGGGCGCGGCAAGCTCGGAAGTTTCTTCGTTGCCTCGGGGTGCATCTTGCTCAGAATTGGCGTTGCTCGCTCTTGACTGTAGCCGGCCGGGAAGCTCACTGCCGCCGCAAGGAGCAGCACAGCCAGATCTCGCTTTGTTGGCACTGGGTGCTGCTGAGTCAGAGTCATCATTGCTTGTGCAATCACTCGTCCATGCTGGTTTGACATCGAGTGTGAGGATGTTCGAGCTAGGATGCTCGCTATTACTTTGCACTGCTACAAGCCTAGGTCTGTTCTTGTCTCCACGCGGAGTTGCACATCCGGGACTCTTGTCGCTCGCATGCAGCGCAACAACTCCAGGCTTGTTTCCACCATTGCACGCGCATGCACATCTTAGCTCGAGTCTTTTGGTCTTAGGCAGCTGCAAGTCGGGGCCAAGTCTGCCGGTGCTCGGTGCATGCGACCCGGGCTTGTCTCTATTGTTGCAAGGTGCGTCCCGTGTCGGCTTAGTGTTACTTGCATCAAGCTGCGCTGGGCCAAGTTCCTTGTTGTCCCTTCGCAGTGTGGCACAACTGGGGTCAGCAGCATCTGCCCTTGGACTTGCCGGCTTGGGCTTATCACTGCCACTGCACGGATGTGCCTACCCTGATTTTTCGTCATTCCCACTCGGGTGCTGTCAGATGGACTTATCGCTGTTGGCGATGAGCGTGTCTCACCCAGACAGCATTTTGTCCGTAAGAACTTGCAGCCAAACAGAAAGTTTGCCCCCAGTCCTGGGTGCGGCTCGACTTGGCCTCGTTCCATCACCTTCAGGCGCTTCCAGTCCTGAGTTTCTGCCGCCATTGCATGGCGTATCACGTCCGGCGTTGGCGCTACTCGTCGTTGACTGTGTCCACCTTGAGAGTTCGCTGCTGCCACATGGTGCAGCTCGGCCGGGCTTCTTGCTGCTGACTCTGAGCGCCGCTGAGGCCGAATCTCCTTCACTTGCGCGCTCTCCTGCCCGTACCGGCTCGACGTTGAGCGTCAGAATGTTCGAGCTAGGATGCTCGCCATTACTTTGCACTGCTACAAGCCTAGGTCTGTTCTTGTCTCCACGCGGAGTTGCACATCCGGGACTCTTGTCGCTCGCATGCAGCGCAACAACTCCAGGCTTGTTTCCACCATTGCACGCGCATGCACATCTTAGCTCGAGTCTTTTGGTCTTAGGCAGCTGCAAGTCGGGGCCAAGTCTGCCGGTGCTCGGTGCATGCGACCCAGGCTTGTCTCTATTGTTGCAAGGTGCGTCCCGTGTCGGCTTAGTGTTACTTGCGTCAAGCTGCGCTGGGCCAAGTTCCTTGTTGTCCCTTCGCAGTATGGCACAACTGGGGTCAGCAGCATCTGCCCTTGGACTTGCCGGCTTGGGCTTATCACTGCCACTGCACGGATGTGCCTACCTTGAATTGTCCCTTTTCCTGCTCGATGGCTGTTCTGGCCCCTTTCTGTTTGCTTGCGGCAAAGCTGTCCTAAGGTCCTCGATGCCGGTTTTGGATTCTGTGGGCTCAGGACCCTTTCTTCCGCTTCGCGGCATGTCATGTCCTGGTGTTCCACTATCGGCCTCGGCCGCTGCTCAGATGGGCCTCCTCTTGCTGCTGAGGTCCTTGGCTCATTTGGGGCTGTTGCCTTTCGTCCTCTCCATTTGCAGGCTTGGTGACATACTGCCTGTTCCAGGTGAGGGTCAGTTGGACAACACAATACCAGTGAGAAGTGCTGCTCATTTTGGTCATTTGCCGTCAGCTCTTGACCTCATCAGCTCTGGGTTTTTAATGTCCGTCCGCTCTTTCGTGCGGCCGGCAAAGCGCGTCTCAGTGGCTTCCTGCGCCCGCCTTGAATCGCTGCTGTTGGCGATGTCAGAGGTATCTCTGGGACCCTCACCTCCATTGAGAGGAGCCACCCGCTTGGGCTCGCGACCTTCTGCAATCGGCTTCGCCCACATGGGGCCTGCACCGCTTCTGCGACAGCCTTCACGTTCAGAGGCCCGGCTCCCAGAGTAGCCCCTCCCTGTTACAGTGTGTGTTACAGTGTGTGTTACAGTGTTACAGTGCACGGTGGCACAGGTTGAATGTTGAGAACTTCGGCTTTTACATGTTTTTTACATGTTTTTTGCCGTCCCCTTTGCCAGTTCTCCACTTTCCTGGTGGGCGCGGCGCGGGCCGGAAAGCCACCATCGATCATGGACGAGGCTGGATGGCTGCCCAAGGGCTTCAGGAAATATGTGGGAAATCAGAGCTGTGGATAGCACAGTTAGGCGTGGGGATCGGTTTCAGCTTGTGCTGTTGAAGTGCGTGCAGCCTTTTTCCTTGGAGCAGCGCCTTGTCAGAGTACAACAGCAAGGCTGAGTAAGAGTAAGCAAGAGCCAAGAACACCCAACTCCGCGCGGAAAGGGCGGCTGCAACAAAGGACCCCCAAGAAGCGAAATAAGACAGTTGGAGCTCACGCCGCGCCGCTTCAAAGCCTCCCTAAGCCTTCTAAGCACGACCTTCGTGAACTCACAATATCACTGCATATGTGCGCGTTCGATGATGCGTGCGATGATGCGCACTAGCATGGCTCTGCTTCAGCGCTATGTCTGTGTGAAGCCTTTTTAAGGGCCTTTTCGAAGTAGAAGCTCATGAGATCTGAGGGCTTTGCATGTCGGCCTGAACAGCGCCGGCCCTTTTCGTAGCCCGCGCTGCAGGTGCTGCTGGGCCTCCCGACGTCCGTTCGGTACTTGTCTCGCGCAGGTGCCTGCCTCACGCAACTTCCATACCCTCCTGTAGCCCACTGTCAGAAGTCAGAAGTGTGACTCTGCGCACTTCTCCATCTACGGTCGGGATTGCTTTGGATTGCGCATATGCCTTGCAGTTGGGTCCAAATCCTTTGCTGCAGGACTGAAACCTTCTGCCCTGGACCACATCAGTGCAGGACCCAGAGAACTATCGTCAAGAGAGGATTGCGCCGTTCGCGCTTGATCAGAACAGGTCGGCAAGCCATGTAGCCGCATACAATCAGATGTCACGATGCTGCCAAAGACCATGTACAACCAGGGTCTTTGCACATCAGATGAAAGTTACAATTCGGGGCTCTGAGCCCTGTCTCCAAAACAGCGCCCGCACATTCCAGTGCCCCCAACTCGCTCTCTCCTTTGGGGCTCAGTGGGCTCAGTGGGCTCTCACCCCTCTCTCCCTGCGCAAAGGTTCTGGTTTCTCCATGCTGCCCCGAAGTCACATGCGCAGCGGCCCCAGAGCAGCTTTGGTTCACCTGCTTCCATGTTGGTTGTGACTGTTGTGATTCAACTGTTGTGCCGTCAGGCTCGGGCTTCATGTCCTTCGTCGAGGGCGAGTCTCGATTGGATTGCTCTCTGTGCCGTGACTGGAAAGGAAGGGAAAGTATGGGGAAAGTATGGGGAAAGTATGGGCATGCCAGGGGTCCCGAGGGGATCCCGAGGGGATCCCATGCGGCCCTTGGTCTTGTGAGATATCAGATAAGCAAATGACATTCCGGTCACATGCACAGGACATGTTATGACACGACAGTAGAAGCGACACGACATCGCATTGGGGAATGTGGGTTGGTGCTGCCCCCCCCCCTCAGGCCAAGCTAAAGGGCCTGTCAGGTGTTTGGCATCTTTGGGATCGCGATTTCTCTGGGCTCCAGAGGGTTTGGGTGTTGCAACAGGATTGCAGGAAGTGCGGAGGTTCCTGCACGATCTGTGTGTGTGTGTGCACTTGTGTGAGCTTCCATAGAATTGGTCATTTGAGTTGGGGGGCTGTGGTGCGATCCCAAGTCGACTCTCGAACCGTGCTCTCATGTTAGGCCTCTCCAGTCCCCACGCGAAGTCCGAAGGTCTGTCGGAACTGACGTGAACGTGAGACAAACTTCGTCGGTGAGGCATCAGCGCCCTTGACCAGTTGCTGTAGCGGAGGTTGCGAAACTCCTGAGTGCAGTGCGTCGCAACCTGCTACTGCCATCCACGCAGCACATGCACTATCATAATTGAATTGGTGCCCGCCCCCGACCTTCTCGGATCCAACCCTTTTCGGCCGGTACTGAGCTCAGTAAGAGGCCCCAGGTAGTCACAGTCCGTGAAGTGCACCATGCGCTGCAGGCAAGTGGCGTGATTTGGCTACGCCATCCCTGCACTGGACTACGTACGTTTCGGCCTGTCGACGTCTGCGAGGCACTTGTGGTAGTGTGGAGCTGCATCGGCTTTTCGACGTACGAAATGTTGTGCTAGCTTTCATATGAAATGCAACCTGCGCAGCATGCACATGTCCAGTGATCAGCGATTCATGCTGCAAGACGCATCCAGTGAGAACTGAGAACCCTGCCACTCCCATCTCACAGGAGCCACATGCACACGGACTCTACCCTTTCCACGTATGGCCACACGCACCTGGATTGCTTCGTTTCGGTCTTTGGCTCGGTGACTGGTGCCTTGGCCGGCAATCCGAACCCACAAGTGCCATGAACACACCGAGTGGCGCGCGGTGCGGCAAGTCGTGCTGCATGTTGCGCGTCGGTATTTGTATGTGGACTGCGGGGAAGTCGCGTATGATGTTCTGCAGTGAGGCCTTTATGTGTAAGAGTCCCGAAGTACATAGGCATCCAGTGCGGAGTCCAAATTTGCGTACATGTGGCGCTAACATGTCAAGCTGGTAGCTCCGTCGCACGCTGTTGGGGGCTCAGGGCCTGGAAAGTTCAAAGGCATTTGAAGGCCTGACCTTGCCAGATTCGGAGCCCAGTTTTCAGCTCAAATCCCAGGCTCGCCATTGCCCGCGGAATCCTTGGGCCAATCCAGCTCACAGCTGCCGCGCGGCATCGACTCAAGTTTCGCATTCCCCTCCCCCCCCTCCCCCCCCACCCCCAGCTCCCCCACAAAAAGCGCTCTGCATCGTAAATGTGAGTCGTGACCAGTCTTGGCTAGCTTAGCCGTAACGGGTGGCTCAAAAGCTAACACGAGATGTCGCGCATGGAATTTGGGGCCTTGCCCTTTGCAAAGAAAGAAGCTGTGAGTCGAACCTCTCACCTCTAGTGAGCAAAAAGAAACGCAGAGGTCCGCGATTGGCGCAGCCAATCTTCGCTCAGCAACATCTGCATCTTGGATTTAAAGCTTCCGTTTCTTCTGAGTGATGGTACTCGCAGCCTTTGTCTGCAACATGCAGTCTGCTCCTGGTACCAAGTTTGTGGTTCAACGGCAGCCTTACGCTGACAGAGCACGGAAAGTCCACCCCAATCCCAGCCCCATGCAACATCTGAATGAGAACTCCAGTCGTTCCTTGACCGTTTGTCTGTTCAAGGGGCTCGGCTGGCTAGTTCCGCTTCTTTCTCATCACGAACCCATAAAGTGTCGTACTGGAAGAACACCGCAGAACTTTGGATTTCCTGACGAAGACAAGCCTTCTCGCTTGCACAAGAGCCGCAGCAACCAACCTTCTTTCCCCAAACTTCCCAACCAAAATGCCACTGACTATCCCTGACCTTCAACCGCTGTGATGGACTCAGGTGCGGTCCTTCACTCGACTTGGCTTTGTGCCGTTCGCCTCAGGCGTTGCCAGACAGCAAGAGGACTTTCTTCTCGGTAGGTACACGCTAGCTGTGCTGCAGGTTGTGACAGCGCCCTCTCGCTTTCTGAAGAGTTTGTATTTCTGGACCTGAGGTTTGGGTGCTTTAGAGCAATTGCCAAGAATTGTTGCTTCATGCATGGGTGCTTGAACACAACCACAAGCCCCGTCCCAGATACATTTTGGCAAAGTCGCAGCCTCCCAAATGGCTGCACCAAGGTCAGCCGCACTGATCCCATTCTGCTGATTGTGGATCATGCGCAGTAGCTTGGCCATCCTACTTGAGCTGTTTTAACCCGAGTCAAGTCTGAGAACCGTTGGCGAGCCACAAGGTTGCAGAATACTGCTCAGCTGAGAGTAGAATCCCATATGCCAGTAGAGCTGGCAAGCTGTTTGCCGCCAAGCCTAAGCTCTGATCTTAAAAGTTTACAGGAGGTATCACCAAACGTCGCTGGATGTCAAGACCTGCAAGGATTGGACTGTCTTTGTCGTCGCGAAGCATGGCACAGGCCAGGACTCTATCTCACCAGCTGGTCAGTTCTTAGTCTTTGCATTCTGGGCAGGGATGTGGTGGGGGTAGCGCAGGGCTCCAGAAAAAATGCAGAATCGCATCCGTTCCCCATACATACTGCATCTTCACAGAATGCTGAAGACTTGGGAACCCTGAAGAGGCAGACTTGAAGCCATCTGCTCTTGATCTCTGCTCTATTGGGTCGTCGCCTCCTTCGAGAAGTGGCATGCGTTCAGGCAGGGGGAATGTTTGGGGGATCCTTCTGAAGCGAATTCAGATAACTCTGTAGGCCCAGGACCTTGGGGTCAGATGCGCGAACGCACCGTGATGTGCAGCATCAGCATCCCTAAGCCGGAAGCGTTTAGTAAACCTGCCGGTCTCTGATCTGCGAGGCCTGCCACTGTCGCAGAACGGCATGCTGTTTGGATCTTCACCGTTTCTTCTGGAGCGGAATGGGTATTGAGCAGTGGAAGCCAGCTAGAGCCGCGCAGCCCATGTAAGCCAGCATGGGCTAGTAGCCACGACTCCAACATCAAAGTAAGATCCATCGCTGTGGCCCACCCCCACCCCTCGCTGCAAATTTCGAGACCCAGTTTTGCAGGACCGCGCCTTGCTGGGACCCTCGACCTCGGTGCGAAGTCCTTGCCTTGGAGATCTCGCGTAGAGCGCATCAAATAACGCTCAAACAACAAACAACCAACAACAGCCAACAGCCAACAACCAACAGCAACACCAGCAAGAACAATCAACATCATCAACAACAACAACAACAACAACAACAACAACAACAACAACAACAACAAGAAGAGCAAGAACAAGAAGAACGCAGCAGCAGCAGCAGCAGCAGCAGCAGCACCACCACCACCACCAACAGCAGCACCAGCGGCAAAGGCTTCTTTAGCAAGAGATACTACAGTAAGACTAAGCGAAGCGAGCCGCCGAGAGGAGACGGCCCAGAGCAGGTTGCATAGGGACAAAACACAGCCAACAAGAAGGCAAACAGAAAGAAAAGGCTGAGGAAGCGACAAGTGACAAGTTGCTCATGCAGAACACAAGTCACAGAGTCTTTTGGAGACGTTTCGACATTTCCAAGGCCCTGCGCGCTTTGGGCCATTTGTGTTCCCCGTCGACTGTGCTGTGCTGGGATCCTCGTTGAGCGTGCGGAGCTACACGCGTTCAGGGCCCAGCCCTCAGCTCCACAAGGCTCCCATCTGGGGGGCGCTGTGTTGGAGGAGAACTTGGAGCGCCGCGCCGTTCCCCTTTCATTCCTAAATAGGCGTTTTTTCTGAGCTTGCCACCCGTGAGGTCTTCTGTCTCAGTCAATGACTTGATCCGGCTGAACAAGGCCTTTCTTTGCGGCTGAAGCCTCCCGAACCCCTGATCTTGCCACTCTGGTTAGACAAGGGCGTAGACAGGATCTGAGTTGTTAAGGCTATTGCCTGCGATGTGGAGGGTCATGCAGGGTCTACCTGCAGCATAGCAGGATAGGCTGTACTGTCGAAATCTTGGCGGTCATTCCGTGCCACATCCATCTTCACGATGTCCCAACTGGGCAATCAGGACTAAGAAGCAAGCTGTTCGAGCCCTCCAAAAGGAGCACACCTACATTAAGTACGGGACAACCCTTGAGCTGAATGACCAGAACATTCAGACGTTGCATCTTGGCCACAGAATCTGGCACTCTGGTTTATATCTTCGGGGCTGGGGTTTGGGGGAGGGGGCGGGATGGCCACCATGGTTCTGCAAAGAGCCCAGCACAAGCATGGCAATTAAATTGAACAGCACACAGCATGAGAAGCCTCCATCCCTTTAACTTCACTTAGGTATGACACGGTGCAGATCTATGCCCAATCAGGCGGGTGGGCAGCTATCTGCAGCTTGGGAGCATGTCGGCATTTTGGCCGGCCGCACGAGGATAGATTCACCAAGCGCCTGCAGGGCCGGTGGTATTACCAACAATCACGAGACCGAATAGAATAGGGTTTAGGATGGGTTCTCGTCTTCGTCCTGCAAGCCGCTCCAAACCAACTGCGGAGTCATGACCCGACATCAAGAAGAAACAAACGCTCCTGGCAGCTTCCGGGGTCCCAGCCAGCTACCGAAAGCTGTCCCCAGCGCTATCCCGAGAGCTGTCTCCATCTGAAGAGGCCCCAAATCTGAACAAATCTGAACCCCAACGCCTCACGTCGCCCCCTGCACAGATGGCACCGCCAAGCGTGGCATTGGCATCCGAGGCCTGGGCGGAAGTAGACTCGTTATCTGCTCCTAAATGATACGAGACGTAAATTTGACCCCGCAAGACATCTCAAGACTGCAACCTAACGGACCCTCTTTGGGTTTGTTTGGTCCCCCAGTTCTGTACTACCTAAGTCTGAGCAACGATCTGGACACAATTTCAGAACCTTGGGGTATGGAGTCCTGCAAGAATCAGAGGCAGCATCATGTGGTGTTGCGCCGCCGAGCTTGATCTAAAGCATTCTATGTGGAGGGGAGCCCCAAAGCCTTCTCGACAGCTTGTCATGAGATTTCGAGTTGCTGTCCACTGATGACAAGTTCACCATGCACTGCCCTGCACCAAGAAGTCCGTTTGAGAAGCTCTGAACGGCAGTGAAGCCCGTGAAGCAACACAAAGCAACACAAAGGCTCAATGGTAAGGCACCGTGTCTCAAAGCAAAGCAATGCGAACGCAGGCGGCGGCGGGCGCCTCCATGGCTCATCTCGCCTGTTTTGAGGGCAGAGAGGGCAGAGATCTTAAGGGTAAGGGAGAGATGCCTGGCTTTGTATGGCTTTCAAAGGGCATGCCACTGCTACCGGCAAAGGCGTATTAGCTCGAAGAAGCTATGCTAGAAACGGTGTGGCTTGGGACTTTCAGTGGCAGACCCAACGCCACCTTTTTTCAAGGAATCACGATGACCAAGGGGATGATGAGACCAGCGAAGGGTTGACAGGTTTCATGTGGTGAGTGTTCAGCCTTGAGCAAGTACATTCCGCAGATTCTGCTGAGGTTGCGGGTAAGAGCGCCACTTTGTAAAAGACTTGTGGATGTTAGGGCTCAGCTGGTTTTGTCATGACCTTGATACATTGCGTACTCAGCCGGTGTCTCTTACACTGACTCTTTGTTCAAGCCCATGGCAGGCTCATGGATTGCAGACAACACGGCCTCTTGGATTTTGATCTGATGCTGGCACTTAAGCATACAGCGGGAGACACACTTGTCTTCCTGAGCTTCGGTGACTCAGAGCATGCAGCCATCGAGCAGAAGAGATGCTGCTAGCTGCCTGAGCGAAGGGCCCACCCCGCTGCTAGCATGCGGAGAGGAGTAGAGTGCGTTTTGGAACAAGGCATCCACATGGTATACTTAGTATACTGAGCACATCTGAGCACACAAGTCACAAGTCTCTTAATTCTGTTCCCAACAGTTCCCAACAGTTCCCAACAGTTCCCAACAGTTCCCAGCTTCAGGTCTCCACGTCTGACCGGCGCCTCAAGAAGTCCATCGTCCCACTGCACCCTTCCCAACTCTCCGCGCAGTTGCTGCCATCAATGGTAGTCAGGAGATAGTCAGGAGTGTGCAACTTCAGAGCTCTGCAGAGCTCGAGCTGAGCTCTGCGTAGCTCTGATAGTTTGTGGTTTGCAGCCGAAGCACTTGTCAGGATGTTCCTGGGAACTGGGAGTGACCAGCAATCATGCGTTGTTACTCATGACCTAGCCAATGTACAAGCGGCATACACCATTTGGACGTTGCAAGTGTTCAGACTGATGACAGGTTCAAAGTAACTAGTGCGATCTGGGAATTGGACCCTTGTTCTGGTCGAGATATACATATGACACACAGCAGCACCGACTCAGCTACATGGTCAACATGCGGCGTGGACGCGTGAATCTGAACGCAAACCTGGTGGTCCGAAGCATGCCTCTGGGAAGCGGAGAGCCAAACTACTGTGATGATGTCAAGTCTCGCAGGTACAAGGCGATTGAGACGCAGGGTGCAGACGACTCACAGTCGGCAGGGAGCCTGGACAGTATGTGGGAAGGTTCGTGACAACATTCCCGTCAACCCGAACTTGGGGTCCTCGATCCTTTGATACAAGTCAGTTTCAAGGTGCACTGTATTGCACAGTCCTTTAAAATAGGGCTGGGTGTCGAAAGAGCTCAGAACTTGCAAGTTGCGTGGGGCCCTAAAACTGCTACTAGGACACAGACTCAAGCCGGCCAAACGAGACAATACGAAGCACTTCATAGGATTCCACCAAGGCATCATCTGGTGTAAGCTGGGTCCTGCGGCAGCTTCGCCCTGTTTCCTTCAAGCCTTGGTCCTCAGCTTTGCTTCGTAGGCTCAGGCATCCAACTCTTGCTGCATGTTGCACTGTTTGGAAACAGTTCCTCAGCGCTGCTTCAATTGTGGTAGCTCAGTGTCGCAGTACCAACTTCATGGAAGCCGGTTCGGTCCATAAAGTCGCGCGCTACAAGATCTCCATTCGCCACGCCTGGTTGAGGCATGTTTTTTTTCCTCAGACAGTGTGCCAGCAGTTCTTACGTCAAGAGCAAAAGGGTCTTAGGTTGAGTTGCTCACGCTGCGCGCCCGAAACGCGCGAGACACGCAGACGCTATTCCTCGAGCTGCATTTTGGATGTATTTACCACAGTGCCGGTTTCTAACGTAGTACGCCGAGAACGTCCGGAGGTCCAGTGGCTCGAATGTCGGCTTTTGTAGTACGAAGAAAGTACGCAGAAGATGTCAGGAGCTCCACTGGCTCGAAGGCCGAGTTTTGCAGTATAAAAATAGTACGTGGACGACGTCTGGAACACAAGTGCCTCTGTCGTGTCCCCGTGATGCGTAGTTCTTGAAGTGCTCCTGGTGCTATTCGAGTTTGGAGGACCCTTTGGAATGCTCTTGCATGTCCACATGGTCTCTCACTGCTGGCAGAATTGCCCATGAGTGGAGCGCGTGCGAACTGGAATACTGGCATATGCAACGTCCGAGTGTCTTCCGCAGGGTGTTCTTGGGTGCCGAGGTTCAAGCAAGGGCCTGAAGCGAAGTACAGCAGATACGGCTTCGTGGCGCTCCCCTCAGATATGGGAGTATGAGGGACGTGAGGGGTTTCATCAGTCAGCGAATCGTGCCTGTGGACGAATGAATGTTTCATAATGTTTCCAACAACTTAAAGCCATTCCTGCAATACTATAGACAAACGACGCCCCGGCGCGAATGTTACACTGTGGAAGAAGTGGGTTCTACAGGGGGCAACGATTGACGAACCTGGGCCAATGCGTACTGAAAGCCCTCACCGGATCCCATGCGACCCCGAGATCATGTCCACATTTTCCAGGTGTTGAGTACCCCTGAAGTACCCCTGACCGTGCAAGGCACAAGAGCTGCAGCAAGTCCTGCCATCCCTGGTCCGCAAAGTTGAAGACGACCATCTCGCCGTTGTTTACCAGGACGGGCAGAAAGCAATAGCAATGTTTCATGCGACTTTGTTGTGATCTGCGTACACTTCACAGCATCTTCGCAATTGTAAGGAGTTGGGTTAGGGTGCCTCAAAATGGTCCTGGCACTAGGCCCTATGGCAGCTTCGGCTTTTAAAAGTGTTTCATAATACGTGACGCGCCCTGCGAGGATTTGATCGCGCTGCTCACAGCGGCTGCGCAAATGCTGCAAGAGAAGGTCGGCTGCCCATCGAAGGAGAATGAAGGAGAATGTTTCCCCCCCCCCGGTCGCAGAAATCTTTCGAGATCCCCCCAGGCCTCTGGACGCTTTCGAACACCCAAGTGAGTCGCAAAAAATGTAGTACTACCAAAATATGTATCCATGAAAAAAATATGAAGCTGGGACCCACGGAGCCCTGTAAGGATCAGCAGCCAGCCCTGAAGGACCTAAACAACCAGTGTCCCCCGCACAAAAAGAGTGATCTGTTATTCTGGCCAACTTTCTTGAACTTTCTTGCCAGGTCACAAAGCAGGAAGAGAAGATCAACAAGCACTGGCCTCAATGCTCTGAAACAAGCTCTTTAGGCTTCAGTTTGTCGCAACATGGGGAAACTGACAGCTTTGATCAGCGCTACGCCTCTACGCTTTTGCAATCAGTGTAGATCTCCGGTTGCGGTTTCTGAACCAGCCCGAAACTTTGTCTTATAGTCCCAGAGCGGAAATATAGACTCCCCAAACCCCTAATACAACCCCAAGACGAAATACGATCGCAGACACACATATCCCAAGTTTTCACTGGAGTCTCCTGGAGCTTCTGAGGCTGGAGTTGGAGCTGAGCAAGCTGAATGCAAAAATGGCCGCAAGCCTACTCGATGAAAGGGCTGCACTATTCACAGTGTCATGAAGGCCCTATGACCCCACTGAGCGTCTCATCCTAACAGTTCTGAAGCTGCAAATGGTAACTCTAGTTCAGCCGGGACTAGCGGGGTTTCTGTCGCGGTTGCTACATCCTGGCGATGAAAGGTGTTGCACATGGCTTTCTTCTGGATGTGTTAGACACGAAGCGCTGCTGTCGACCAAGGACACGTTGCTTGCTGGCCTGCCACAACAGGCGGACTTGTGCTGTAGACACATCTATTGCAAGAAGGATGTAGAAATTGCGCGGTGGGCATGCGAGTGGAGCTTGTTTGGGTACTGTCTGTTTGCTTTTGGTTCTGTCACTCTGTGGTTAGCGCTGCCATGCTTCAGAAGGAAGTAAGTACCTCAGGCCCTTCAGAAGGAAGTAAGTACCTCAGGCCTACAAAGGTCCAGCAGGCAGCACGCATCCTAAACCAACATTATAGGTGTTCTGTAGGCCCTACCGGACATGTGTTCCTGAATGGCAGGTGCCTGTGCCGGAGATAGCCGTGTAGACACTGAGGCCACGCCACTGAGAATCGTCAAGCTTTGGAGTGCTTCTTTGGAGAGCAAAAAGGATCCGAGTTGGGGAACCGCCGCCAAGTAGTCGCGCACGACGGAGGAACACAAAAATCGTAAAGAGGCATTGCAGATGCACGGGATGTGTGTGGCCTGCCTGTTTTCCAGCATGACCAGCAGGCTCATCACCGTTTTGTCCAGAATTTTGTCATTCTCGCTGGCGCAGGGGCCAGCGGTCTTACCGTCGTGGGGCGTCTGCTACGGTTTATCTTTGTGAGAGGCATGGACTGAAAAACAAGTCATGATCAAAATCCAAAGATTAGGCTAGGTGCCGAAAAGGCCAACACACACACAAACAGGGAGCATTGCATATTTCTATTCGAGAGTTTTTGACAGATGTTGAGAAATGCAGGATAATTTCATTAATTTTCGAAGGATAAGAAATATCATTCGCATCGGTCATGTTTCTTGTTTATTTTGTTTTGTTGCAAATATGACGTGTCGACTGCCAACCATAAACGAAGCATGCACCACACCCTGCGCAACACCGTGTTTACACTGGCCTCATAGGCAGGGGCTGCTCCCCGACTGGAACCCAGGTACTCCTGCCAGATCAAGTGCATAAACGGCTCATATGGGCAACACGCACATGTGTAGGGCTGCTTCACATGCAAAGACCGTTGCATCCCTTGAACAAACAAGGAACCTCAGCCCCCCAGCCCCCTGCCGCATGATCCACGTCCCGGAGGCCACATCAGTTGGGGTCGTGGGTGCGTGGTGGCGGGGGCACAGGTCGGTGGGTGGAATACGTGGTCCGGATGGAAAATTCTCGTTTAAAGGGGGCTGCAATGCGTACAGATCTACTCGCTACAAATCGCCCAATCAACTCTCTTTCGCTCTGCAGCTGTTTGGTTCTGAAGTTCTGAGTCGGAGGGAAAGTATGGTGGGCTATCCCCCGTTCATGGAGGCGCTTCAGCACAACTGGCTTTGCCATTATTCTGTCAGCTGTGCGCCTCACCTGGGTGCGGACCCATGTTTCATGGACGTGTCAGGCGCTAGCCGAGCTGGCGCAGGACGCCATGCAGTTTGAGCGGCGCCTGGCTTCTTGAGAACACTGTCGGCTATGTCGGGTTTCGCGATTCGGGGGGTTCTGCGGGCTCTGCTTCAGGTGTTTGGGACTGAGGGTGAGACCTGCGCAGCCCAGTGCTCAGTCACGTGAAGCCGCGCCTACTGCACGAGTTCCCGGATGCAGCTTGCACATGTTGCAGGTTATGTCACCAACGCTACATTGGAAAGTGTAAGAGTTCGTAAGATTCGAAAATTGATCGTGAGCAGCTCGTTTTGAGGCGACATCGCCCTCAGCGTGCTGTTCTCAGGAGCGGTGCTGGTCGGGGTTTTGTTGCGTGCATTCGGTTGGAGGTAGCCGCAGATCTGTGTGGTTTCCCTTCAGATCAAGAATCAAGATGCTTTTAATTTCAGCCTTCGGCTGACACGTGCTCTACAGTGGCATGACTGGCGAGTTCCAATCTGTGTGGACCAGCAAAGGCTGGAGTCTCGCTTGGCACTGCCAAGTCATCCGGTGAGCTCAGGTCGCCAGAGGGTTTGCCACTTGCTGTCTTTCGCTGCCTTCGAAGCAGATCTGACAAGGTGCAACTAGAGGCTCCCGTCGGCGTTCATCGCGCTCATCACGGCGTTCATCGCGCTCATCACGCATCAGAAACCTGGAGGCATGACGGGTTTGCCGGCTTGGTATCCTTCATGTTTCTTTCCTTGAAGACGCTGCCTCCTGTGGTGGTGTTGCTTCTTCGAAACCTCTTAGCTGAGAGATGCAGAACCGCAAAAACTTTCTGAAGGCTCGTGGTTTCTAACTCCAGCACTGGGCTTGTCCTCCGGCATGCATTGACCTGGTTCCCGTTCCTGATCTTGATGTATCCTGCCTCAGCTAAAGCACTGCGTCTGCAAACGTGACAACCCTTTCTTTGCTGTGTTTCGGTGTCTTGCCAGCGTGCTCTGCTCAGCTCTGAGACGCCAGCCGTCACCCTAGGTTCATAGACTCGCAGAAAATCTGCAGATGGACGTTCGCAACTTCTTCCCACAAAGTGTTGTTCAATCCCGGGACTTGTGTGGGCATATTTGTCAACGTGTAGCTCGAGATGCGGGCCCTCATTATGTCGGATGTTTTGAGACTCTGATCATGTCACGCCGGAAAGTTGCATGCTGCCACCTCTGGCGGCATCGGAGTGCTTGCGTGCCGTGGGCCTCATGAGTCCCTCAGCAAACCGTTCCACTGACAAACCACGGTTGGCATACAGAGGGGTACCGCGAAATCTCGAGCATTGCGTGAGCTTTTGCGGCTGTGCCTGTTGAGGTTCCTTGGCGATCCTTGGCGCACGCAGACCTGCGAGGGTTTTGCGCTTCCGCCACGCCATACGCTGCAAGCGGTTGTTGCGCGCCGCGCGCAAGTCGAGTCCCCCTGCAGTTCTTGAAGTTGAGGAAACGACAATCGCTGTCAAGTAGAGCGTTGGTTGACCATTGAGTGTATGGGTCACAGAGTTGTGCGCGTATCCAACGCAGCAGCTTTCTGTTAGCATGCATATGTTTGACCTTTGCAAACCGCCGCCAAGCGCAAACCATGTCTGACTGCCAGGTGCAGGTGGCGCGTTTGGAAGCCGAAAAGGCAAGTTTGGCTGGTTGTGGCTGGGGTTCGGGCTCCACGGTTTCAAGGGAGTCTCCCATAGCTTCCGGCTTCTCATTGGTTCATTCCTGCCGCAATCCTCGAAACACTCCCCTAAACATCTCGGGCATAGGGACGTTACCATGTTGGCATATGTTGGCAATATTGTGGCAGGCTGAGTTCATGTCTTTCTTTGAGACCTTCACAGAGAAGGCGCAATCGCGAAATGAAGCCTTATCACTTCTCGCCACTGCTACATGGCCTGTCATCCAACATCCTGCTCCTGGAACAATGCGATTGGCAGGCATTGCGTGAGCAGCAGGACCTGAAGTTTGAAGCAAGCCCCTAAGAAGCCGAGCTCAAAGCATCGGAAGTTCGAAAAGTGCCGTTGAGGTACAAGTGCTGTCTGCGCGTGCGGACCTCATTACGCAGAATATGGCCGTGCTGGAGGCGTTTCTGGCTGGACCACTGGCAGGCGATGGGGCTCGGGTAGCTTATACCGTACCCATTGCGCGGCAGCTTTCATCCAGAGGGTTCAGCGGACATGAAGCGAGTCGGGTTTGACAAAGCATCATGTTTTTTTGCCGTGAGGTCCGGCTTAAGGCTGAAATTGGGGGGCCGGCAAGATGCAAGCCCCATCTGAGCGTGGAAGCCGCTAGAGCACATGCACGTTGTTTCTTTATGTCGAAGTCTTGTGTGGCCGCCTGAATATCGGGCAGTGCCGCTTGCGACCGACCTTTCGTCCTTTAATTTAGGATTCCAAACGACAGCGCAGCTGCCACGAGAAGTGGTCGTCCTGCAATCTATGTGTCCACTGGACTGCTTAGGTCTGGCAATGGTGACCAGGATCTGGTAGATGATGGGTTCAAGAGCAAAAAGGATCCGAGTTGGGGAATCGCAGCCAAGTAGACGCGCACGACGGAGGAGCGCAAAACGCTTAAAGAGGCATTGCAGATGCACGGGATGTGTGTGGCCTGCCTGTTTTCCAGCATGACCAGCAGGCTCATCACCGTTTTGTCCAAGATTTTTGTCATTCTCGCTGGCGAAGGGGCCAGCGGTCTTACCGTCGTGGGGCGTTTGCTACGGTTTATCTTTGTGAGAGGCATGGACGGTACAACAAGTCATGATCAAAATCCAAAGATAAGTCTAGGTGATGAAAAGGCCAACACACACAGGGAGCATTGCATATGTTTATTCGAGAGTTTTTGATAGATATTAAGAAATATAGGAAGAGTTTCATTTTTTCGACGAATAAGAATCATTCGCATCGGGCATCTTTCTCTTTTTTGCTATTTATAAATATGACGTATCGGCAGCAAACTATAAACGAAATATGTATTTCGCTTTGTATAATACGGTGTCATTATTGGCCTCATAGGTAGCGGTTACTCCCTTAATTGAATGGCTTTCTAATTCACCGATTTATAAATATGATATATCGATTATTAACTATGAATGAAATATATCCCCTGCTTAGTCTAATATGATGATTTCAATAACTCCATGGGTAATGATTGCTCACTCCCCTAACTGACTCGAGGGACTCTTTCTAGATTAAACCGAGCTAGAATTATATTCTATAAATCCCCATAAAAGGCTACGGGCTCGACCCTTATTTTCGCTCTGCGGCCGCCCCGTCGGATGCCCCGCCTCCTCTTCCGGTCCATTTGGCTGCTTATGAGGGCCTTGCAGGGGGATCCTGAAAATTCCGGGAATTTTAATACTTTTTGTCTAAAAATCCTGGGAATTTTGGGAATCACCCGGAGCTGAAAATTCCCGGAATTTTAGGAATTGTCCGGATTGAGGTTTGGGCTTGCTGGGTTGGATTTAAGGTTCCAGCGCAACAGTGATGACGTGGGTGCCCCTTCACCTTCAAGGAAATCTTCAAGGAAATCTCTTGGTCCAGGGTAGTTCCGATGACGGTCGCCGCCCGCCAGCTGTTCAAGGGGGTTCGGCCTCACGATCACATATCAGCAATAGCTCTCGAAAAATCCTAAGAATTTAAATTCCGGGAATTTTCGGGATCCCCCGGGTTCAGGGTTTTACGCTTTACGGTGTAGGGTTTTTGGGTTTAATAGAAATTGTATAGGGTTTGTGTCCGGAGTTTTGTCGTGTTTTGGGGGGGTTTTGTTTATTGCTTTTGCTGTAATGGTTTGGGTTCTGTCGGGTGTGGTGGGGGGTGGGTGGTTTTGGGGTGCTGAGGGGTTGGGGCTGAAAGGCTGGGGTTTTGGGGGGTTTTCCCGAATGCCCGTGGTGGTCCCGTGGTGGTGGTCCGTGGTCCCGTGGTGTTCGTCGTGGTGGTCCCCAGCGTGGTGGTGGTCCCGTGGTGGTGGTGCTCCTTTGGTAGTGGTGGTCTGTCGTGGTGGTGGCGGTGTCCGTGGTGGTGGTGGTCCCTGGTGGCCGTCGTGGCGGTCCCGTGGTGGTGGTCCCATGGTGGTGGCCGGGTGGCGGTGGTCCGTGGCGGTGGTCCGCATTGGTGGTCTCGTGGTGGTGGTTCCGTGGTGGTGGTCTTGTGGTGGTTGTCCCGTGGTGGTGGTCCCGTGGTGGTGGTCCCGTGGTGGTGGTCCGTGGTGGTTGGTCCGTGTGGTGGTGGTCCGTGGCGGGGGTCCGTGCGGGTGGTTGTATTGGTGGTCTTGTGGTGGTGGTCTCGTGGTGGTGGTCTTCTGGTGTTGGTCTCGTGGCGGTGGTCTCGTGGCGGTGGATCTTCTTTTCAGGAATGCCTGGATCATTTGAATTTCGATTCATAGAGGGGATTCTATAGGACCATCGAAATCCAACATCTTGATACTATCCTAATATTCTTGGATTTATTAGAATGACTTGAAATGACTTATGAATTTTCTTTCCATTCGAATTCCTTGTAGGATGTCCCTCGCGTAGGATTATGGATCGAATCTATTTCTTGAACAATGATGGATATTATTGGAAGAGATTGAAATCATATTTCGTCTCATGAGAATATTTTTTGAATCGGCGGTTCGTCTCACTTTTGATTCTTTGCATTTAGGAATCTTCGATTCTTCTTATTCTTTTTTCGTCTTTATGGAATGATTTATAACTGGGGGTGATGACGGATTTTTAAGCACGTCGAGACATCTTGGAGAACTCGAAATTCATCTTGCTCTCGTGGATGAGGATTCCCTTTCATTTGATAAGCGCACATAATATTTGAATGATGAATTTCATTTATAGAATAAATTTCCGGATTCGTCTTTGGACACTTTGGCCCTTTAAATCTCAAATGATAATCTCTAAATCTTGCCTTCACACTTCATCATTCGTTCGAGTTCTTATTGACGCTCGCACATCAGGCTCACAGAATTCCATAAAGGGATCCCGAAATTACATGGATCTTTTATTTGTCCGTATTTCTTCAAAGCTTTGGCGTACGTTTTCTTCCATTCAATAGGCGAATATATCGTCGATGGAATCGACGGGTCCCCTCTAGTATCCCCATAAAAGGCTACGGGCTCGACCCCTATTTTCGCTCTGCGGCCGCCCCGTCGGATGCCCCGCCTCCTCTTCCGGTCCATTTGGCTGCTTGTGAGGGCCTTGCAGGGGGATCCTGAAAATTCCGGGAATTTGAACACTTTTTGTCTAAAAATCCTGGGAATTTTGGGAATCACCCGGAGCTGAAAATTCACGGAATTTTAGGAATTGTCCGGATTGAGGTTTGGGCTTGCCGGTTGGATTTAAGGTTCCAGCGCAACAGTGATGACGTGGGTGCCCCTTCACCTTCAAGGAAATCTTCAAGGAAATCTCTTGGTCCAGGGTAGTTCCGATGACGGTCGCCGCCCGCCAGCTGTTCAAGGGGGTTCGGCCTCACGATCACATATCAGCAACAGCTCTCGAAAATCCTAGGAATTTAAATTCCGGGAATTTTCGGGATCCCCCGGGTTCAGGGTTTTACGCTTTACGGTGTAGGGTTTTGGGGTTTAATAGAAATTGTATAGGGTTTGGGTTTTGCTTTTTGCTTTTGCTGTAATGGTTTGGGTTCTGTCGGGTGTGGTGGGGGGTGGGTGGTTTTGGGGTGTTGAGGGGTTGGGGCTGAAAGGCTAGGGTTTTGGGGGGTTTTCCCGAGTGCCTGTGGTGGTGGTCCCGTGGTGGTGGTCCGTGGTCCCGTGGTGTTCGTCGTGGTGGTCCCACAGCGTGGTGGTGGTCCCGTGGTGGTGGTGTTTCCTTTGGTAGTGGTGGTCTGTCGTGGTGGTGGCGGTGTCCGTGGTGGTGGTGGTGGTCCCTGGTGGCCGTCGTGGTGGTCCCGTGGTGGTGGTCCCATGGTGGTGGCCGGGTGGCGGTGGTCCGTGGTGGTGGTCTCGTGGTGGTGGTTCCGTGGTGGTGGTCCTGTGGTGGTTGTCTCGTGGTGGTGGTCCCGTGGTGGTCCCGTGGTGGTCCCGTGGTGGTGGTCCCGTGGTGGTGATCCGTGGTGGTTGGTCCGTGGTGGTGGTCCGTGGCGGGGGTCCGTGTGGGTGGTTGTGTTGGTGGTCGTGGTGGTGGTCTTGTGGTGGTGGTCTCGTGGTGGTGGTCTCGTGGCGATCCGTGATTTGGGATCTTCTTTTCAAGAATACTTGGATCATTGAATTTCGATTCATAGAGGGGATTCTTTAGGATCATCGAAATCCAGTGTTTTGATTCCATCGTAATGTTCTTGGATCTATAAGCATGACTTATGAATTTTCTTGTCATTCGAATTCTTTATAGGATGTCCCTCGCGCAGGATTATGGATCGAATCTATTTCTTGAATACGATGGATATTATTGGAGGAGATTGAATTCATATTTCGTCTCATTAGAATATTTTTTGAATCGGAGACTCGTCTCACTTTTGATTCTTTGTATTTAGGAATCTTCGATTCTCTTCTCATTCTTTTTTCGTCTTTATGGGATGACTTGTAATTGGGAGCGATTGACAGATTTTTAAGCACGTCGAGACATCTTGGAAAATTCGAAATTCGAGGATTCCCTTTCATTTATTTAGGCGCACATAACGCCTGCATGATGAATTTCATTTATAGAATACTAGAGCTGACCCGCTGCTTCCAACAGCGGCACGCAAGACGACGACGACGGCACACGACGCACGACGACATGTGTTTTGCTGCATAGAGCCTGCTTGACCATGACAATCGCTCGGTTTCATACAATAGGAACACGGGTATCCATCAACAAAACTTCCAATATAAGAAGCATAAGAAGACCGCATCCGTTCTCTATGTGTTGTGCTACGTAGAGCTTGCTTGACCATGACAGATATTTTGTTTCATAT